AGTTACAGTTTAATTTCTGAATTTAGCATATAGAGGACAATAATGATGTAATAATAAAATGTAACCTGTGCAAAAGTTACAGCAAATTTAATATTTTATGTTTTATTTTTTTCAATGCGTTAAACTCAGCAATAGCAACTGGTGATCGATAAACAGCGATAAAAATGCCATTATTAGGTTATTAACTTATTTTCAAATCAACAAAATATGGAATTTCACCAAAGTTTTGCATATGACTGTATGTATGCACATATGTGTTTTCAGTAATTCAGCATTATGCATATTTTTTCAGTGTCTGCATGTTCCAATGGGCAGTATTCAATCATCAGCTATACAGTATGTATAGGTACATTTTGTGATACAACAAAAAAAGCAAAGGAAATTTGACTTTGCAATCATTTATTCATAAAAATGAACAGAGAAAGTCTGTTGAGTAAGTTCACCCCTGACTTTAGCAACTGGTATTGCCCCCTTTGACAGAAACAACTTTATATAAGCAATTCCTGTAACTGTCTACCAGTTTCTGACATCTACTGGGAGAAATTTCCGCTCATTCCTCCATGCAGAATTCTTTCAACTATGCAATGTTTGCAGGTTTTCTTGCATGTACAGCTTGTTTCAAATCCCCCCACAGCATTTCAATGGGATTCAGATCCGGGAATTTAACCAGGCCATTTCACAACCCTCTATTTCTTCTTTTTGAGCCATTCCTTGGTGGATTTACTTGTGTGTTTGGGATCATTGTCCTGTCAGAAAGTCCACTTCTTCAGCTTCAACTTTTTGGCAGATGGCCTCACATTCTCCTCAAGCTCTCACTGGAATGGAAGAGAATTCATAGTTGATTCTATGACTGTAAGTTGTCCAGACTCTGAGGCAGCAAATCATTCTCAAACCACAGTATTTCCATAATCATGCTTTACAGTTAGTATGAGGTTCTTCTGATCAAATGCTGTCTTCGGTTTTCACTAAACATGGTTTCTGGTACTGTGGCCAAACAACTCTATCTTTGACTCATCTGTCCAGAGCACACTGTTCCAGAAGTCCTGCTCCTTGCCTTGATGTTCATTAACAAACTTTAGTCTTGCCTCAGTGATCTTTTTTTAAGACACCAAAGGTTTCCTCCTGGCATGCCTCCCATGTGGGTCAAATTTGCGCTCGTTTCTATCTAATTCTAATATTAGATGTATGCACTTCTGCATCAACAGTGGACAGAGCTACTTCTCTTTATTCTGTAATGAAATTTTGAAAATGTCTTTTAGAAAATGTCTTTTAGCATCTTAAGGTCTGCTCTCAGGTTAAATATGCTGGGGCGGCCTGGCCTGGAAAAGTTGGAAGTGGTTTTACACCTTTAAATCTTCTCTACATGTAGATGGTCTTCTGGACAGTGAAAGGACTGAGTTCTAATATTTTATATCTAACACTTCTCAAACCCCTTCCTAGACTCATACCCATCTACAACCTTCTTGCTGAAGGCCTCAGAGAGCTCTTTTGATCTAGGCATGATGATACCACACACTCCAATAACAAAGAGCAAATCAGACCAGATATCTGGGGTTTATATAAGACAGGTTCCTCCAAGATGTTCTGTAATGGTGTTCCAGTCATTAGCACCTGATTGAGTGCACCTGACATGTTTGAAGAAGTGATCTAAATTGAGGTGATGTTACTTTTTCCTTGAGGAAATTGCATTTTTGTTTATTTCAATTACATAAAAGATGATGAAATGTAAATTTTTGGTGTCACAGGTTAAAATATATCACCTTTATCTCTCAGCATTGACTAAATGAAGACTGGACATCTGTATGTTCAAACATGCTAAAAAAGTCTAAACTTTTTACTTTTTACTTTTTCTTACTTCTTTACATGATTGTGGTTCATCTCCCCCAAGATTGGATCTGCCAACTCTCATTCATGCAGCTTGTGGATTCCTGGTACTGTGGAGGCTCTCGAGGGGAACTGGAACTTTCCACTTTGCTGTTGCTTTCTCCTGCAGGCACTGACCGATGTAGTCTGCTGAAGGCGTCCCAGTGCTAACATTACTGACATATCAGATGTTCCCGGCATCAGATCTCTGTTTTGCTTGTAAATGATACTTAGGGCTTAGTGTAAACAAAGTCACCATGACAATAGCAGGAAATAACTTCAGTTCTAAGAAGACAGTCATCGGTGGAAGTTGGTTTTTAATAGTTGTATTGGAACGAGAGGACGACTGTCATTTTTTCTACCATAGCAACAGCATGCAGATGGGCTTCAGCCCAGAAGTGGGGATGGTTTGAAGTGTAAAACTCTGGAAATGCATACATGACATTAAAAATGAGTAAAAAGTTTACAGAAAAAACACTCAAATTTCCCCAAAACGTTTTCCGACATCCTTGCTGTATAATGTTCTGTCGTAAGCTCTATTGCACACCACTACTCCTCATTAAGTGTTTACACTGCAAAAAAGTCAACAACGTTGATCAATATGACTGTGTTGCAGAAATGTTAGTTAACGACTGTTTTCAGAAAAGTGCTACTAACTGCTTTTTCTTTACACTTTTAGTTTTTCAGGAAAGCTTACTTGCTTGCAGTGGTAAACCACAACTATTAGAGCCAGACCGTCAGTTTTTTGCATAAATGTCAAAAAAGCAAAACAAAAACAAAGAACAAAAACTAAACAAATATACACCTCTACAGTAATGGTAATGTCTGCTAGCCCCCCTATGGGATTCTTGTGGTATGTTAGTGCTAAGGTAACAGCAATTCACCTGAACATTTTTTGGCTGTTTTAGATTTAACAAGGACATTTGAAGCTTGTAAAAGACATTCTATGTTTTATTAGAAGTTTCTAACTGTTAGTATATAACATATTAGTTAGTAAATATCACTGATTTTCCAACGTTTCTGCATAATTCAATCATTAAGATGCAATCAAAGCCATTCAGAGTGGTTTGGTGTGAAATGGTTGATTGCAGAGACTCAGATTTCTTTACAGTGATGGTGATGTGTCTTCTGAGTTTTTGTATGTGAAACTGATGATGGCAAAATAGAGACAAAGCTGAAAAAATAAGGTTACCACTAAGGGGACTACTTTACCATACAATGCCCTGCATGTATCTCTGCACCATGAATGGGGTCAAAAAATGTGTTTTAAGCCAAAATCTTATCTATTTTAAAGCAGTGTCTCAGATATCAGGCAGTGAATTCATAACAATTTCATGTAGTAACTTTCTGTGAGGGAGCTTTTAGAGGTGGACGTCTGGTTCCTATCACCACCACTGTGAACAGTTCTGAGTTTCTCCAGAACAGAGCGTTTTACACCAAACCACTCTGAATGACTTTGTTTACATTTCACAGAAGATTTAAAACATTAAAAACATATATTTTACATTATGCAGTTGTACAGTGACTCTTTCAGTAAAGAATTCTGGCTCAGAGCTGCCGCTGCTGCTTTCCATTCCTAACAACTAACCCAAACCTGCTTAGACCACGACTCATATTTGCTGTCACTGGTGTATCTAGAACTTCCAGAAGGTCTAGAGTGACGTTTTTGGTCCCCACCTATTCAATCAAACGTAAATCAAACGTGATTGGTTGATTCCTCTGTCACTTCCTAAATATGTTAGTAGTTAGGAGGTAAATTCTAACCAATGGGAGAGATCGCTTAGCCATATCTGCCTAGACACCACCAAGAAAAACATCCTGATAGGGCAATTTTCAATTAGGCATTTCAAAATTGAACTCTTTTGTTTATGACCAACTTTTAACAATGAAATAAAATAATTATTTCAATACTTGCAAAACATAAAAATACATCAAGCCTGATAATGATATTACATAAAAACGAACTAAGAAAACTTTTTACTTTGTAGAATTTTTTAGGCATTTAGAAGACCCTTAGGGTTTCCCACTGCTTGCTTGTATAATGCTTGTACTTGTTATAGTTACTCTGTTGCTCAGTGTATGCGTAATAATGATAAAACATAATGTCATTATAAATTTTGAAGAGGGCTGCAGCAGCCTGAATAATAGCAAAGAAAAGCCCACTTCTTAAATTTGGATTTACGAGAATGCCAGATGTTTTCTCCTCTCCACAGCATTTTTACAGTAATGCACTTCAAAGCAAACATTTTCCTCCCCCACACCTTTCAAACCCTCTGATAGTCTCATTACAGCCTCTGCTAATGTGCTGTGGTTTCCTGGCTGCTTGTCATGGAATGGTTTACATGCATTCTGCAGACATTTAATTCTAGCAAGCACAAAGTCTGCTCTGTGTATTGTTGTTGATATGGATGTTTCTTACTGAACTGGACCTTTTGGCCTTTTGAGCAGTTCCCCTTTGCAGGAAACTACCCCGCCACCACCTCCGCCCCCCAATGCCGGCCTGCTATTTCTAGGAAGTGTGAGCAGGCATACTGCAATGAACAGAAAGTAAAACTAAGTGAGCCTTTAGAGCAGCACTGCACCGAACAATAATATGGTACTTTAACCTCTTAAGGGTCTCTCTCTCTCTGTGTGAGCTACAGAACTTGCACACTAGTTTCACAGCGTTTACTGAATTACTTAAATTAGTTATATAAATAGTTAATAAAAATGGCATATGCTTAGGTTTGTTCCCTGTAGAAGATGCGCAAACTTTTGCATACGACCATATATATGTACATTAATTAATAAATAATTTGTAGCAGTTACTGAATAATGCACAGTATCTGACTAATTCACAGCAGTTACCAAATAAGTCATAATAGTTACTGAATAATTCATAGTAGATACTAAATAATTCAAAGTAGATAAGTTACTACATAATTTATAGTAATACATACTAAATAATTCTTAGTAGATACTGATTAGATTCATTGAGTAGATTCATTGCAATTATTGAATAATTTATAGTAGATACTGCATAATTCATAGATATTGAATAATTCATAGTTACTGAATACTTCATAGTAGGTACGGAATAATTAATTGTAATTATTGAATATTTCATAGGAGATACTGAATAATTCAACATAGTCTAAACTGAACAATTCATCCAGAGTTTAATGAATCGTTCACATATATGAAAGCAGACATTCAGGACTCCACTGAGACCACACAAAATACCATGTAAAAAGTGTATATACTTCCCACTCACTCACATCACTCACCACAAAGCAGAAAAATAGCAATTCATCATCTTAAAAATACCCCTGTGGTTTGACAGAGTTCATAATAAAATACCTCAGAAACAGAAATATAGACATATGTTACACACTATATTTTACACAGTCTGGCACTGAACTGAAATACAAAAGTGCAGGAGAAATAAGTAAAAGGATCCGTTCTTAGAGAGAGTCGGGGCAGTGTTAGCTTTGAGTCACTCAGTCCTGGCAGTGATTGAGCAACCATAGCGGAAAAAGGAAACTCAGTGTTAAAGTAAGCCAAAGGTTTAATGTCTGTACCTCTCTTTAATCCTTTTCTGGAGGCAGTTCAGTGCTGGTTGTATCCTAAAGTTATTTGGAAATAATCACACTTTTAAGGTCGCCATCTCAGATGCATTTGACATTTATTTTCGTTTCGTTGCTTTTTTGGTCATATGTGCCATAAACAGCAACCAAAACAGTTCCTGTGAATGTGTGTATGTAGATGTGTAGATGTGTGCGTAGGTGGATACGTGTAACTGCATTGATTCAGCGCTGTAACAAGAAATGCAATGAAATAACAGTGAAATGACATTACTCCGAATGGTAATCCCAGAAATGGCCAGGCTAATTAGATACCAAGGCTTATTACTCAGTAACTACGGGGACTTCAGTGCAAACTGACCGAGCTACTTTTAAGTTATAAAAGAGTGTAATAAAACTGCTGCTGGTTCCTGGCCATTTAAAGGGTTAAACTGCAACCAGGGCAAAAAAGTACATTTAACTGAACATGCACTACAAAAAAATGAACTGGATTTACTTAAAGGTTTACATCATTTTCACACTGCAGCAATACGGAATGTAATGTTCATGTGGAAATGATGCACACATTTTAATCAGGTCACTTCGGTGCACTACTGTTTCTCAGTCTATGCGTCTCCATTCAAAGTTCAGGTCTCTGCTATCTCTGAAGCTGCAGGGTTTTTGTGACAGTGTCCTCCAGATTGCTGTGCTGTCCCGGCCGGGCTGTGATCAGCACCCGGCAGGCGCTTCTGTCCTTTAGGAACTTAATGAGAGACTCGTCCATCTCTCTGTTCCCTTCTTTATAGCTGTCCAGGATGAGGAGGCTGTCCATGTTCCCCAGAAGGATTTCTTTGACGTCAGCTGTCTCCAGTCCCGCTTCACTTGGAATCTTTGACTTTACAACTTGGAAAAAATCGCCTTCTGCTCCCTCAAAGTCCACTAAAATCACCAGCCAGGTCTTGCTGATGTTGAAGGGGTCAGAAGAGGATCCGTCAGCCCACGAAAAGGCCAGCTTTTTGGCTAAAGATGATTTACCGCTCCCTTCTTCTCCTTCCAGAAGTATAGCTTTCCTACTGCCTGGAACGATGGACTGGAGATCGCACTGGCTTTCCCTGGAGAGGATAAAACAGTTTAAGATGATCAGCTACGAGGAACTGCATGTGCTGAGATTGTCTTCTCTGTAAATTAACACAGAATTGTATTGTGAAGCCTATTTGCTTTATTTGTTTGCATATAGGTTACTTATGACCAGTACTGTGCACAGACGTATGAGGGGTGGAGGTTCAAGGGAATAAAAGGTCAACATGACATGAATTAAACGCAAATTAATCCACAGCATATTACACGAATGTGGCTATGTGTACGCAAACACTGCTGTGCAATGGATTGTTATTATATGACTGGCAGAAAATACAAAGTGCAAACTAGCAAGCTTTGTGAAATGTGTTAGTAAAGTTGATTTGGCAGTAGCAGCCTAAAATTTGAGTAGCTACTGGAGTTAATACTATGGCTGCTGCTGGAACTAAACCTCGTATCTCCATTTTTGACGCTTTTTTAGTTTTTTGCATAATTTGAAAATGGCTGTTGCCCTTTACATTGTGTGTACATTTCACAATGAATGGACCAAAAGAAATGGCCCAAAACCTCTTGGAAAGAAGTCTGGTTCCATTGACTTGCATTAAAAGTGAAGTAAGTAAGTAAGTTGGAGATACAAGGTTTTGTTCTGACAGCAGTGATGTATATATATATATATTTCTATTGTACAGCACTGCACGGTTCCAAATCTGTGTTCATGCATTTTGATGTCATTTTTATTGACCCAAATCAGATCAAATCATATCAGGTTTGGAGCTTGTTTGTTTACAACAGATTACAACAGATTGCCATAGCAGCCATTTTTAAAAACCGCATTCATTTTTCCTGTTAATTAAGCCTGTTTACAGTTCTGGTGTGACACTGACTACTGAATGACACATGACTTCAAAAGCTACTTTAGTGCTGTCAGTGTTCTTAGGAAAAACGTACTCAGCCAGAATGGACCAACATTGAATTTACTGAAGTAGAAAAACAAGTGCGTTAATCATGTGGCTTTGCCTCAGGAGTGTGTGTCTGATTTCAGACAAAGATATCAGTCTGCACGTGGGCTTTGACTCAGCCATTGCCAAGCCCTCTGTTTCTCCTTTCTGAGCGATGTTTTAGTATATTTGCTTAGGTGCTGTTGGATTGTGGTCATGTAGCATGATCAATTTTATGCTTCAGCAAAAAAACAGGACGTGACATGTTATATTGCTCCAGATCACACTTTTCCAGACCTTTCTGTAGCCAGATGACTTTTTTTAAGCAAACCTCATTTTACCAGTTCCCTTTCATGACATTGACTGGATAGCTGTTCAGCTGGTCATTCAAATGCTTGTTATAGTATGGCTGAATTTCCATGTGAGCTGGATTAGATCAGAACTTGGTTGACTATCAGTGAATCGAGCTTTTAAAGGAATTTTAAAGAATTCCAGGCTAATTTCTCAACCTACTTTCTATTAGAATTGACACTAATTTTGACACATTCCACTATATATACAGAAAAGAACAGAAAACAATTCACTCTTAGTAAACCTAAAGTACCAGCCAGTGGGCAGTCGCTGAACTTGCTCGGTCACCTGCCAGAAATCCTTAGGGAAAGTCAAAGAAACCGGTTGTTCTAGTGAGAGAAATTTGGATAATTCATAAAAACAGCTTTGGGAAAACATTCTCATGTTTGTCTCAGCCTCAAAAGCTCCTCCCACATGCACACAAACCATCTGATATATATTTTACGCTAAAATGGCCACAACTATCAGGATTTTGATGGCTGCATTCCCATTGGCTATCTGCACTTCTGCACACAAAACAAAAATGCTCAATGCTTATTTGAAGCATTGATGAGATATCGCCATGTATTGTTGGTAGACATCACTTTATTTCCCGCGCGTATGTTTTTGTTGCACCTTTCTGAAAATCACCTTCGCCTTTACGTCATATAGTCACTTATTTCAATCATTTCATAAAATTCGGCAACTGCCCAATGGCTTCTCTTATAAGTCAACAGGCCTTCTGTTCTGTTAAGTACAGCGAAATGCCTTAAAATGACTGTCTGTGGTAAACGATCGCATGCGACAGACGTGGCAGATTGAGATAAGATTGAGAAATGCTTGAATATTTATTTTATTAATCTACCATATAATGGAAGAAATGAGTTTCTCGCTCGTCTGTGCTTGTTTTATCACTGCGTAGGTGTTAAAAGCCTCCTGAGGGCCTTTCTGATGCCATACATTTAAAAAATATCTGTTCAGAACAGGCATTTTCAGGTCTTGCTGCAGCACCAAGCCACTTCCACCTACTGACAGCACCGAAATGAGCATCCTGTGTACCTATTCAACAGGCGTGTTTTCATTTTCAACACAGAAACCCCCCACCTCCCCCCTTTGCCCTGCAGAGATGAAAGGGTCGTACCCGCAGAGCAGGCTGTGCTGGAGTGCGCATCCAGCCATTGTGCTGAGCTCGGCGTATCTCTGTTTCAACACCTCCCTCAGATTCTCCGCTTTCCCCTCGCACACTGGAAAAACACAGGGTTGAAAAAAGATCGACACAAAATGTCAAATGTTTTGAGCAGCTAAGCAACTGAAACAAGCCACGGCAAGCAGCATGACACATTTCTAGCTGACATCCACATGCCGAGCGAATGTTTTTTTTTCCCACGTCTGCTTTGTGATTTTTAAATTGTTACTTATTTATTTATAACAGAGGCGACTGGCAGTTTTTAATCTGTCCAAAAATTATCCGTGGGCTAATTTTCACCAGCTATGGACACAGCTGTTTCTTTAAGGCCACATTTGAGTAAATGAGATGAATGCAATTAGTCACGATTAACTATTAGTAAAGAAAATGGTTCTATATAGAACCACGAACACTCAAAGAGTCCTTTGCATGATTAAATGGTTCTTCAGATTGATGGAGAATATGTTGTAGGTGGTTCTAAATAGAACAAGGGTTCTTCTATTGTTACAGGCTTCCCATCATAACAATAGCAGAACCTTTTTGGTGCTACATAGAGCCCTTTTCCATAAGGTTCTATATAGAATCATCTATAGCATTCTTCAATCTACAATCTGAAGAACTCTTTCACGATGCAAAGAACCCTTTAATCATGGAAAGGGCAGAGGTGTAAAATTCAGGTCCAGAAAGTAAAAATCCTTCCCAGGATTTTGTTCTACCGGCCTGGCTTCTCTAGTTAGATCAAACCACCAGCAGAGCTGTCCAGGCAGTTGGAACAAAATCCTGGGAAGGATTTTTACTTTCTGGACCTGAATTTTACACCTCTGGAAAAGGGGTCTATATAGAACCATTTTCTTTACTAAAGAACCCTCAAAGAACCATTTTTATTGAGAGTGTACACAAAATAATGCAATCATAATGCTTTTAAAGTTAAACTGACTTTTAAGTGATGTTTAACATAGTGAAGTTAATAGCTAGTGATGATAAATCACATTATTTTGTGTAGTCATAATAATAATAATAATAATAATAATAATAATCTTTATTCATATAGCACTTTTCATACATTAAGAATGCAGCTCAAAGTGCTTCACAATACAATTAATCGTGATTAATCGCATTTGTCTTTTTTGCTCACATTTGACCCAAAAGAAAGATCTGTTTTATTTAAAATTCAATTGGTTGTAGCTAAATGAGTGGACAAAACAAACTTTATCAAAATGTATTTATTACAACGTTATTTTCATGAACCTGAACATGAAAATCATGTAATTTCTACAGAGTGATTAACTTGTTAATTTTGACCACTTAATAGTAGGCTAATGTTTTATAAGGCTAAATACACTTTTTTTCAGCAGGAGTAACACCAGAACATCAGAAACAGTCCAATAATTGTTTACCTTCTGATGAAAAAGCAAATGCGTCAGCTCTGAAAAATGGAGTCTTTGGTAGTAAAGCTGGGGGACAGAAAGGAAAACACACATTAGATTAATAATACCTGCTAATGAAGTTAACAGTGATTCCTCATGGTTGGACATTGAACTCTTTGGTCTGTAAGGAACTTTTCCTGAGTACAGACCACATCTTCAACAGCTCAAGGCAGGGTGGCGGTTACAATCTGGAGGGGCATTTTACTGTGAATTGATGTCCAAATCCATATTGACCTCTAAAGAACATGAACAATATAATTGCTTTCCGCCTGATGCCTCATTAGCCAGGTTTCCATCCAGTTGCTGAACTAAATTCAAGCAAATAACTGGAATGTTGCAAATCAGACTGCGTTCCTCTCAGTTCTGTACCAGAGAATACATCACTCTACTCCACTTCTACGAAATATGAGGCCAATTTGCGGAGAAGCCTTTAAAGATTAGCAGCTCCCTGTTGCTGTTTTGCTTCATTTTGTGGCTGTATTTTACATCACAGGTCAAAACAAACTGGCATAATAAACTGGTTCAGCTGGTTCTGTCTACAATCTAAACTCACTGTTTCTTCCCGGAGAGGATAAGGCATGTTTTAATGTCTACATCAGTCCACTGCTGCCTTATGTCCTGTCTCCTGTAGCGAAGGCTGGGCATGTCATCACCCTTACAACTTTATAGTATTGATACTGATGTTATTTAATCTGTAAATGCCTTTCCATTCATCCCATTTCTTTTTTTTTTAGATCCAATTCACGCGAACGTACAAACTACTATGCAAATGTTGGAGATTCTATTTGAAATGTGCCATTTCCTTCCATTTATTCACATTATCGTAATATGCATACAAATATGTGGATGGAAACACAGCTATTGTTTTCAGCCTACTGCAAACAGTTGCTGGGGGAATTTCTCTCTAAATGGTTGGACCACCTGTTTTTCCAGATTTCATGGCTAGCACTGGCTCTTTGTTTTGTCCTTATCAACCAAACCACTTTTTTTAGAGAACATAATTATTTCTCGTTTCAAGTGGACATGACACAATGGAGTGAAGTTCACGCACAATGGGTTGGTGGTCCTGCAACTGTTTGTGTTTTCCCTAGACTTAATGCAACTCCTGAAGGACTTGGGTTGCTCAGTCCTGGTCCTGGAGGTCTACCAGCCTGGATAGTTCAGATTCAACACACCTGGCTCTATTATTCAGATGCCCCTGAAGCCCTTCATCACCTGGATCAGGTGCGATGGACTGTAGGACCAGGATTGGGCACCTCTGACTATGACCTATGCCCCACCCACAAATGCATGGGTTGTCAGTTGCTACATAATGTTAGGTTTATAATGCCAAGCTACTGAGCTGGACTGTGTGGTTGTAGCTAATCAAAGCTGTGCAGATTGGATACAACAATGAATCTGCACCATGCTAACATTAGCTCAACAACAGAAACAGCCTGTCCTAACAGTGTGGCCTTACACATGATAAATTATGATAAATCTTCATACAGTCATACTTACAGTCAGTCGATGTGACAGTCAGATTAGGTTCTGATGATTTGCATATGGTTGATATGGAGTCTCTGTTTTTTTGCCCTATGAAGAGATAACAGCTTTCTCAGTTTCAGAAGTGTTTCACATCATATTAGTTTAGAGGTATTGAAATAGGAAAATATAATAATGGAAAATGGAAATCAAAACCTTTTGCTTCTCAAATAATTTTCAGATGCATGATTCATCATAAATATAAAAACAAGTACATTTTAAAAACATTATAAAAATATAGATACGTACATAAACACAGTAAAAGTCAAAGGCACCTACGCATATTAGTTTAAACTATTGGTCTTGGTAATAAGGGTGTTTAAAAACACATAACAAAACACATAAATCACGCTTAAAATTAAGGTTCTTCAAGGGTTCTCTAGTAAAAAAATGGTTCTATTTAGAACCATGAAACTCAAAGGTTCTTTGCATGGTGAAAGTGTTCTTCAACTTGATGGAAAATGTGCTGTAGATGGTTCTCTACAGAGCCTTTTTGAAAATGGTTCTATGTAACACCAAAAAGGTTCTTCTATTATCTAGTGACGATGCCAAGCTTGTAATAATAAAAGAACACTTTTTGGTGCTTTTTTACACTTTTAAAAAAGCTTCTTTAAGGTTTTTTAGTAAAGAAAATGGTTCTATATAGAACCATGAACACTCAAAGAACCATGTGCATGACCAAAGGGTTCTTTCCATCGTGATGGCGTCCTTGAGATTGTAGATTGCAGAGTGCCGTAGATGGTTCCATATAGAACATTTTCGAAAATGGTTCTATATAGCATCAAAATAAGGTAAGATGTGAGAGCTATAAAAATAGAAGAACTCTTTTGGTGCTATATAGAACCCTTGTCAAAAAGGTTCTACATAGAACCATCTACAATACCTTCTCCATCAATCTGAAGAACCATTTCATGATGAAAAGAACCCTTTAATCATGCAAAGGGTTCTTTGAGTGTTCATGGTTCTATATAAAACCATTTTCTTCACTAATAGTTAATCGTGACTAAGCAAATGGCCTTAAAGAAACATTCTCATTTTTAAGGGTGTACAGTAAAATAAACATTTTTTAAAGTAGTATAGCTACTATGAAGAACAAAGTTTGGTTCTTAGGTAGTTTGTGAGCTGCTATGAGGAGATAAACACTGAATATGATATACATTGAAGGGAATCAGTTTTAAATTCTACTTCATATGAATCTATTTAGAAGCTGTGGTAAGACAATTTCATACATTTTAAAGGTGCTTTACAGGGTTAACATTAGAATGTTCTTGACCTTAATATGCATCACTGTAATAAAGAATTTATTCTGAGTCTTTTTGGACTTTTTCTGTGGGTTGATTCATCATGACATGAATCATGATGGGTTAAATCATAAAAAGAAAACAAATTTTAGGCTGAAGTTTTCTCAGTGTAAACTGTCTGTGAAGCAGCTCATCCGTCATGTGACTTTAGCGAAAAGGGATTTATATCCTGTATCGGTCTGGCGTACCTAGAGTGGTCTTCATGATATCATCCATGAGGTCACCCTGAACGCTATAAGTCCCTGTGGGCGATATTACTGGAAGGCCTGAGGGTGAAAGGAAGCTTATTCAAGACAGGAAACCCTTTTCATGCCCCAGTGGCATTAAGGACAGCGTCCTGCTTCACAGCCCTGACACACGGCCTTAACCTTCGTGTGTTTTTTTGCCCCGTCTCATGGGAATCCCCACTGGCCATCTACTACCTGGTTTCTATTTTCACTGCTGAAAAAAAATCAGTCGTACGCGGGGGTTGCTATGATCACATGATGTCACGTTTAGGACTGTGTGATGCCATAAAGACTAAGGGTAACACCGAAATTCTATTTATAGAGGCTCATGTCATCTTCTCCTGACAGAAATTTCAAAACAGAGAAATGGAAGCGCCGAGATCTGCGCTGAAGGGGAAAAACTGCTTCTCCTAACATGACACAGCCAGAACAGGGGTGTTTTATCACTTCGATCAACTTCACATGGATCTGAAGGAAAGATCAGTGACTAACAGACTGTGTGAATGAGTGTACCTGAGAGTTTAACACCCCATTTAGTAAACACGACATAACTGTGACTCAGTATAGGAGTGAATTTGGGTGGGTGAGTGCATACGTGTGACTTTATATCATACTGCGCTAAAGAGCACCCCCCCATTCATTTCCTTTCCCACCAAAGCAGCCATTAAGTACAAATTTATCATTTTTCATCATCAAGAATAAAAGAGGGTTTAATTACTGCTGGGATTTCACAAGATTTAGCGCGTGCTTTCCACAGAAAAATGCTGTATTCACCATTTTATCGTGAAATCAACTCATCTTAACAATTTCTCTAATTACACAGCAAGTTACTGTTAACGTTGAGCTGTATCGCACAACATTATGGGATATGAGAGTTACAATATTTTAATAATAACCACATCTGATGTGTTTTTATTCTGATGATTTAAGTGGTGTTGTTTTTTTTCTTAATGCTGGAACACTGAGGTGTTGACAAAACTCTGTAGTGTTTATGGGTAGCCATGAGTTTTTGGTCGGGTTTATGTAAATAATAAGCAAATTTAGACACTTCAGACATTCTGTACTGAAAAAAATGGACTTTGATATTGTTTTTAAAAGGAACATAGTTATAAAAAGTTGGTTATTCATATATAAATTCACAGTAATTCACTGAGTTGCACTACTTTTGCAGTCATCATGTAACAGTGCAGGGGATTCTAGCTTATTACTCATATTTACTATTAATTCATTTAAGTAAAATATTGTGAAAGTAATGCAACTAGTAGCCTTTAATTTACTGTAATTTTACAGTGAGATTTTATACAGTGATTTGATAGAAGCCTCACCAACTAAATATTATATCCTATTTTTGTCAGTATTTACTGTGTCCACTCTTTCCCTTTATTACATCTTCCATTCTTTTCAGGAGCCTCACTTTCAGTTCCTCAAAGAATCTGCAGACACACCTCCAAAGTTCAGTCTTAGAAGCTGGTTGATAATTTTCTGAAGTAATCAAACACATTCCATGGTGTTGAGGTCTGGACTCTGGGGTGGTCAGTCCATCGTTCAGCTTCTTTGTTTGATGTGTCCGTCTCCTTTTCTCAGTGAGGTTCTTCTTGAACAGCTACACATCCTTTCAGACCCACAGCGCTGAGCCGTCTTCTCACAGTGGAAGGATGGACAGAAACACCTGTGGATGTTTTCAGATCTGAAGCAGCTTGATTTTCTCCTCTCTCTCAAAGATGAAAGCTTTAAGTGCTGCTTATCTGATGGGGGCAGTTTTGGTGTCGACCAGCTCTTCCAGGTGGTTGTTAGGAGCCCCATTTTCTCTGTAGCTTTTCATCATTTCTTAGTCTCTGGTTTTGGCATTTGATCTTATATCTAGTTGTTGAGGCTTCTGTTTAATTTTCTGTTAAATATATATGTTTCTTATGTATGTCTTTTTCCCTGAATTTATTACATGCTTTAATATATACATACATTGTACAGTAAATCTATATTCTGTATAGTTCAATAGCCTTAGAAACTAAACTGCATAGGAAACATTTTGTCTATGTAATCTTTCAAATATAATTTCTGTTCCTTATAATATTTATTTTTCAAATAAAATGATACATTTACTTCAAACTATCCATTGTCCTTGATGAAATTATTGTTTAGCTTCCTATCATTCTCCTAAACTATATGTTATATATTGTATATTATATTGTATATTACTAACTGTATGTAGGTGTTATACTGTATGTTTATGTGTATCGTGCTACTACAGAGTTGAATTACGTCTTAATGCACCAGAAACAACACTTCAAGAAAAACTGGAATAATTAAAATGACATTTATATAAAAAGTATAGAGTTTGTGTGTTAGTGTTTCTGTTGAATTTCCGAAACTCCACAGAGCAAAATTTTACTTTTTGAAGCCGAGTATTATTTGTAGTTTTCATTCAATACCCTGTTTATCTAATCAATCCTTCATTAACTTATTTATTACTTTTATGAACCCACAGTTTAGCATCATTAAAACTACATATATTACATGTTTATAATAGTTAGTGAACCATTTTTGGAAAAACTGACTAATATACCTTTATTACACCTATTTTGTATATAAACATATTTTCTCATATTCAATCATAATCATAAATCACATTTGAAGGGTTAAAATCAATAGTAATAGAGTCCAATGGGTTAAATTAGATCAGGTGAGCTGCTGTTGGGAGTGCAGTGAGAAGTCAGGAACCTAAGCTTAAAAGAAATCAACTACTCTTTCTGAAAACGAGGACTTTCTCATTGCTTTTTCTGTTTTTTTTGTACTTATTCTGATGTAATATATTGTTGTACTGGCAAAAACACATTGTTCACTGAGATCAATGGTGGTCTCCACGTGTTAGCTCCCATGTGTCAAACACAAGGCCTGACACAATCCTATCAGGGCCACAAAAGTGTTTTAATTTTTTATTAATATTAGCCCGTTTAACAATGCGCTGCACTACCGTCCCCAGCATGCACTGGAACGTTATGTGCTCCGACTCTCCTACCTCAACAACAATCTATGGAACAGTGGTTACACCTGAATTCTACTCAATTCTATGCAATTCCACACCAGTCATGTCACCAAATGCATTTCAGCAGCAGTTCAACCAATTTAAAAACCTAACGTCAGCTCAGCAGCTCAGAATCTGAGCCCAAGTCTTAATAAACTTGCTTTAAATTTTAAATATTTCAAATGTCCATGTAATATTTTGAGGTCTACTACAAAGGCCTGTATTTTACTCTTGAGTTTTTTTTGCATATTTTGAATTAACAAGTTATTATTACTAACAAGAGCAGAACATTAATTAAAAATTAAATAAAATCTTTTTTTTCTGGCCCACATATTTCTTGAGATTTTTTAATGTGGCTCATTTACCGGTTGAGTTTGATCCCCCTGCATTAGGTGAAGCCCCCTGGGCTGTGATTAAGAAAACATCCAACACCACTGACAGTTTATCAAACCTACTGAGATGAGTAAGTGTTGACAGCTGTGGCCAAAGAAATACAGCCTGAATTAATGAATGACTGATGATTGGATGAATGGATCGCAGACTGTGTTCTAGGCCCAGCAGGGAATGAAAGTGGCTGAAGGATATAGAGAACAGAGAGACGAACCTTTCTTCCTCCTGTGTACGATCACAGAGGTGGTGACGAAGCCCACGCACATCACAGCAATCACACCGATGGCTGCATAACCATGAGACCACTTACTCTTCCCAGGAATTTCACCTGCAGAACAGAAACAGCACCGTTACAATCCACTACTCATGATGACTAATGCTGCGAGATGGAAAATACATTTTATGCCCACTGTACATGCCACAGCGCTGGCTGAAACCACAGACCCTAATGTGGTCATATCGACAGCTGTTCAGAGGAACAGAGTAAAGAGAACGGAGTCTGTTATCAGTGGTTGATGCCGAACTGATCTTAGATAACCTCTTTAAGTGGGAACTTCTCCTGCAGCTGGTAAAAATGGACGCTGTTTGGGAGAATTTCTCTGTAAACGGTTTCCACTTTAGGGAAGTTGTGGCTGTGGTATAAATGTTAAAAATACAATATTATTACAGGTTTTTTCTCAGCTTCTTAACTATAGAATTCACCTAATGTAAAACAAAAAAACCACTTGTCAAAATGCAGAAAGTCAAGATGGTTAAAAGGTCACAAAACAGAAAATGCATAAAATCTTTCTGACACACATGATCTTTAAAAGGCCCATATCTTAATATCATTATCATTAGTTTGCTCTTTATTTTTTCCCATGAGGTCCACTTATTATGTATGTTTTATTTTTGCATGATTATATATTGTAGCCATGTTATATATATTATATATTATTGTCCAAAGAAAAGCTACTATCTCCACAATATTAACTTTACAGGAGAGGGTAAAACACTCTTACCTTTTAATATAAGTTAATGTTTATTCCAAGTGATTCTAGGGGATTTTTATTGGTCCATTCATCATGAAATGGACAGAGTTGATTTGTATATATATATATATATATATATATATATATATATATATATATATATGAGTGATATATGTGAATGAGCTCTTTTGAGGTTGGCTTCCTTGTGTTGTGGCTCAGTCTAGACTGAAAGACTCCTTATAACTTCAGTGTGAGTGGGCGGGGCCAAACTGCTGTAGGCTGAATACGTGGATGAATGGAACTGTACTGATTTTTGTGACATTACAAAAATAATGAACTGAAAACAGTGAACTGAAGCTTAGTTGACATAAATTGAACTGAATGAACTGAAGAGTAAATCACATGCTTTTAAACTTTAACACGCTTTACATACTATATCAGACTCTTTTATTTCAACAAAAGTGGAAAAACCTTTTTATACAGATCAAACCAGAATGTTTGTCAAATACATGTTGGGTGGATAACTCTACAAACAGGCTGTTTTAAGTAGTAATTACAAACAAAACCAGGCTGAACCAAAATATTGGCAATAACTGTTAAATCTTGTTGCCTTTAAAGCTGTAATTCCAAATGTAACCAATGGATTATGTTTAGGTTTTCCTGTTTTCCAGCTCCCAATAGCAGGTGAATGTTAGCTTGGCACTAACATAACATTTCCCACAGACATTGGCAAGTTCGCTAATATCAACAACAATTAAGAACTTCTGGTCTGTCAAACATATTTGGTGATAGTATTTAGTCATAAGATCACTGAAAATGTTATGTTTTTCCAATACTTTGGTTTAATAATCTGAAAAATCTTGTTATATCTATGCAGCGCTACCAGCATGATCCACCGAGGGGTATGTTCTTTCTTAGCTATCGCTCCTAAACTCTGGAATAGTATGTCAGAGAACATTATTGTATTATGAGTGTATTATAATTACTGATAGCAGTAATAGCAATAGCTGCAGTAGTAGGTTAGAATAGCTCTTTGTATAAATGACTAGAGGTTTGAATAAATGACTAGTTTGTTGTCACACAGTAGCTCAGTAAGCGATAAATATTACCAGCAATAAAGTGTATGTTGGTGAGTCAGTTGAATTTGAATTTGAATGGACAATATCACCTAGTCCAGGGGTCAGCAACATGCGGATCCTGATATGTTTAATCTGCAACGAGGAACTAAAAAGTCTAAAAAGTCACAAAGCTGAAGTCAGCTTCCTGTTTGAATTTTCCCGTCCCACCTTAAATGGTGCAGCAGTTACATTCTGGCGCTTCAGGCACCATTTAAAGTAGAATGGGAAAGCTGGCCAATGAGAAGCGACTTCAGCCTCGTAAAAATGTGAACGTTGAGAGACATTTTACAAGAAACTATTCTACTTTTGTGGAAAAGTTTCCTGCCGGAGATGTGAGAAAAGCAGCTATAGCTGATATTAACAGCCAAAACGGTAAAATGTTACTTCAATAAAATGAACATAAAATGTTGTGGTTTTCGAGGTGGATTGATTATTGTTAAAATGCTCTTCTTAACATTTAGGTTGCCGACCCCTAACCTAGTCTAATGGCCATATAGTCCTAAATCCAAAGTACTTTATCCTGGAAAGCTCTGTAATAAAATGTCTTGGCTCCAGCCTTCAAAGCCACAGTGCTTTGTTTCCTTTTTTATTTTAAATGTCATAAATGTGTAATATTGCTTTCTTGTGGTTAGCTTCACTCTGTGAGGCAAAACCCGATGTTCCAGCTGTATTCTTGGACAGATATTATCACGTCACAGTGTGTGGGACTGCAGCTTTCTATGAGCTACCATGTTTTCTATCACTGTATAAAAGACGCACAAGGCTTACTTTATTGCTGGATATACTGTAATTCTCTTTATTTGGAGCACAGTTCAGATCAACAAGTGGTTATTATTGTTCTGTTCAATCAGAGTGATGATAAAGCACGACTGATGTGTAACTTCTATCCCTATCAAGCTTTTTTCGTGATCTAAAAGTAAACCAAATGAAATTCTGCCAAATTTTCACTTTTGTTAGATCACAATCATAATGAAATAAACTCAACAACAGCTTTGAGAAATTATGTGATTAAAAGGGAAGAACAGATTAAACGGCAGAAATAGCCAAGTTTTTGTGTCTTACTTTATCCCTTAAATGTCCAGGGCCCACTGGCAGGCCCTAAAGTTTTATTACATATTATAACCTAAGAATAGCTCAGCCAGTTTACATTGAAGTCCCTGTGGTTACTGAATAATAAGCCTAAGTATGTAATAAACCTGAGATTTGAAGGGGTTAAAAACAACCCACTGACTCAGATCAGCATAGATCACTGCATCAGCATATCCACGTAGGCCAGAGTGGTAAAGAAAACACCCCAGCAGAAATATTCCAGCCTTAATATGAAAAAATCCGCCTCTTACCACAAAACACATTCAGGTATGTTCTGTGTTGGTGTTTGAGAGACATAGTGTGGGAAATCCCTTCTGCTCTAATCAAGGAAAAACTCAATAGAGCACTGACGCTGGCCAAACAAGTATGTTAATACACGTGTTTGTGCGTTTATGTATGCAGATAAACAAAAAAAAAAAAAGCATGCAGAAGGAGAGTAATTGCAAAAAGCACCTGTCTTTAGTCCAGCACGTTTCATGTCTGACGCATGCATGTGCATGTATGTTTAGGTGGAGCCCCCAGGCGTGTGATTCAGAGATCACTGAAAACCGCACACCTAATGAACACGAGCAGCTCCGGCATGTAGGCACTTTTGAAACCTGACCACAAAAACCTTGTGGGAAATTCATGTTAATTAAGGAAAAACTGAGTTTATTTCTGGAACTATCCGCAGGGACTGACCACAGTGTAAGCTGTGGTTTCGCCAGCAAGTTCAGCAAGTCCATAAACACAAATGAGCCACATTCAGTGTTCAGTCTCTCCTAAAATGTGCACTTCCATGGGGAATCCTCAGGGTCTTTTAGGCCTAATGATTTCCAGGAACTAAAATATTAAACGGCTGTAATGTTAATTCACTTTTTACTGAGTAATCATGCTTGTTGTAGTTAAACAAAAGAGTTAAATTGTTTGAACAGAAAACTGTTTAATCAGGTTCTTTTCTCTGTGGTATGTAGGTAGATACAGCCAAACGCAGCCAAAGCACTCCCATTGGGTAGGAGCTGAACAGAAGACCTTACATGTGGCAACCAATAACCTTTTGATTTACAATGGTTAACCAATATTGTAAGAAAATACAGGGTGATTCAAAAAGATTCATCCAACAATGCAGTAAACTGGTTTAAATGAGCATAAAGTTTATTATGTAATTTTACAAGTGCTCAATATGAACCTCCTCCAGCTGTACAGACAACGTCAACGCCATAGTCAAATTCATCCCATACTCGATTGAGCGTGTCGGGTGTCGCCGCACTCACGGCTCTTTCAGTGGGATTTCGGGGATCGTCCAGTGTTGTGACACATGAACAGAATCCTCACCGTAACCCCACAAAAAAAAAGGAGGTTCACTGCCACACTGACATTCACAAACTCTATGACCCTCTCTTTCAATTGGATTGTGATTGGTTCCTAGGCGCCACACGGTTGAAAAATATGGCGCTTTGAAATCGGATGAATCTTTTAGAATCATTGCTCTATGCCTTCTTGCCTTCTAGGAAGTTCTAGATACATCATTCACTGCGAATACGAGCCCCAGTTTCAGTTAGAAATGGAAAGCAGTAGCGTCAGTTTAACATTTAAGTTTTTTTGTTGTTGTTCCTTGAGTTTTGTCTGAAAATGGCTAAACTTCCAAACAGCTTTCTACGAAATATGGCACATACTTTCAAAAACATATCTTATTTGTATTGAAACATTGGAAAAGTTTCGACTATGTTGGAATGACTACTCAAGTTAGGTATTTGCAAACTTTTGACAGGCAGGGTAAATAGCAACTTAATGCTAATTCATCTACCAGAACATGCCTAACTGTTCTCAAACCAGCCAACAAGATCATCGGACCCACCTGGAATGTCAAAAGTGGCTGACTGGACTTTCCCGTCCAGCAGGATGGAGCATGTGTAGTTGTCCATGATGCTCTCTTTGACAGTCACTCGACTGATGACCTTATAGGTGCCCTCGCTGGTCTTTTCGCTGCTACTGTTTGACCTTTCCATCAGGTCCTGTAGCCTGCCGTCGCTCCAGACCATGCGAGCCAGAGGGAAGCCTTGGGACTCGCAGGAAAGCTCCACCTCCTCATTGCCCAATCTTCTGATGCCTTTTTTAACAGCAGTGTACGGAGCTGAGGAAACACAGTTCGTTCATGTTAGTGTTTTGGAACTGCACTGTTAGAAATAAAGGATCTGTTCAGGTACATTTTTCGTTCATCAAGGTACAAACAATGTAAATGTGTTCTCAAATGTACAACAGTGGTTTTAAGGTCTGACTGTGAACCTTAAATAAGCTTTTCCATGTAAAAAGTTCGTATTTATACCTTTTCATAAACTATTGTTTCAAAACAGAACAGTAAAATAAAAGCCTGGAGACGAGACGGGGTGTGTGGAGTCAGTACAGCTTAGAACATATCATTTCAGTGGATTATGGTTCAGTTATGTTCCCTGACTAAAGGCACTGAGATGGACCCTTGAGGGGACCACCCCAGTGACAAGAGGGGTACTGCCCCAGTGACAGTTTAGCACCTTTATTTCTGAGAGTGTAGAAGGAAAAATGGTCATTGAATCACAAATGTCTCCACACTATAATTTATTGTGTTTCCTTCTTTGGCAAACCCCAAAAAGGGAACTTGGTGCCCCACGTCTTTGAGAACAACAAACCTTTTTGGCTGAAAATTTTAGGTATTTTTTGTCAACGATTTTGGGAATGATCAACAATTGCCATACTTGGAGTGGAGAAGACTGGTTATGGCCAGTGCAGTACTGGCTCTGGGTTTACTAACAGAAAGCATGTCTTACATTCTGCTTTTTCTGGTTGTGATGCTGTCATTTCTGATTTTACCATTCCGGTTTCTAACTTCTAGTTAGTGTAAGAGAGAATTGCCTTTTAAATCATCAGAAAACAAAAGTTTACTGATTCTTGATTCTAGGCCATACTGGCAGATGTGTCTAGTTAAAGAGAGTAAAGTAAACAAACAAATAAAACCCTTATGTAATCTTTAGACAGCTCTTCTAATGTGTGAGTTCAGCTACTTTAAGACGTTTGCATGATCTCCATAGAAAAGCATTGACCAATAGAATTGCTTTGGAGTAGCTGCATATGATCACTAGTTCACCATATCCAACGCCAGGTGTGGGCTACAGGGGTATAAACCCCCCAGCATTGGGCTGTGGAGCAGTGGAACTGGGAGCTGTGTACTCTGGAGTGATGGAGCTCCATCCAATACCTTTGACTGACCATCCAACATCAGTACCTGACTTAACTAATACTCAATCAAATCCTCACAGCAATGTTTCAATATCTAGTGTAAAGCCTTCCCAGAAGAGTAGAGGCTGTTACTGCAGCAAAGGGGGACAAACTCACTTTTAATACCCTTCATTTCAGAGGAAACGCTGGATATCAGTGCACTCTTGCTCTGAGTGAACTGGACTGACCTCGGACAGTTAGGGTGGTTTTCTTGTAGTCGGCCTCCTCCAGTCTGACGATGCACTGATATGTGCCAGAGTCATTGATCTGGAGCTGGGAAAGCTCCAGCACCGCCCGATATTTATCCAGCTCGTCCTTCAGCAGGCGTGCTCGCTTTTGAAAGCTTTTGCCAGTGAAGTTGTGGTTCTCGAGGCCTTTCTCCAGCCGATAGACATCTACAACCGGCGAAAGATCAATGCGCTGCCAGATGACGGATAGCTGAGCGACATTTTTTACCGGTGAGAATCGACATGCAATCCTGATGTTTTTGTGCAGCTCTCCATCGTACGAGTTCTGCTCAGGCTCCACAGTGAAGAGGGCTGAGAGGAAGAAAGAAAAAGAGGGAGGAAACAGGTGAGCAGTGGTGTAATCCATTCCTAGGTAGGTAGAGACCACTCCTGCCATTCCTGCTTCTATGTGTCCAGCAGCAGTTTGTCAATATTTTGACTTAGTTCTCAAAGTAATGACTTCTCAATATTTTAGCTTATCATGTACTATGTCAAAATAATAACATTTTCTTGAAGTTTCAACTATTTTAAAATAATGACCCCAAATTTCCACTTACTATGTCTAAATATTAACTCGTTTTCTGAAAATACTAACCACGACTCATGTTCTCAAAATTTTGAGTTATTATGTCAAAATATTACCTTTTTTTCTGGAAATACTGACCTACAATGTTGAAATAATGAATCATTATCTCTAACTGACTATGTCAAAATATTAACTTGTTTTCTGGGAATACTGACCTACTATGTTGAAATTATGAGTTGTTTTCTCATAATTGTGACTTACTATGTAAAATAGTAACTTGTTTTCTGTTTTTCTGGGGATATTGATTTACTATGTTGTATGTATACTATGTATAGTGACTTTTTATAAAATATTGATTTACTATATTGAAATAATGCCTTGTTTTCTCAAAAAATTGACTTACTATGTTGAAATAATGGGTTCAAGAAAGTAAGCAGGAAACAGAGAAGGAGAAAAAATGAGATTTTTTTCTCATCCACCTGGTCGGAATGGGACTACCATAGGGATTTTATGGTCTCCACATGGTAGCAGTAAAATGAACAGGCTCCATATGACAATTAGCTTAAATAAAAGACAAAATAAAAATCCAACTTGCTTGTTTTCTCATCAAGTTAACACTCTCATGTAAGCTATTCATTGGAATACATTATTATCACAGTTAAAAGCATGTACAACTGTGCAGGTAGCTAAATAAGGGGCCCAGTAAAGAAGTTAGGGGGTCTTTACTGGTTCCAGTGCGATTGACAGCTGGTAGTTATACCAGTGCAGGTGAGCAAAGGAGAGACAGGTGAGGCTCTATTGATGACCTCTGACCAAAACAAAGCTCCTTTGTGTAGTCAAATCAGTGATACGTTGTACTTGATTCAAACATGAATGTGTTCATGCATTTCCACCTTAATGAAAAGCAAAGCAACACTTTTGTCAAAGCTAGCAAACTGGAAGACAGTCATTGTTTAACACCAGCAATCAAGCTGATGCAACTGAACTGAGTAAATTCATTGCAATACCTTTTCACTGACTAGTGACTCATATGGGGAAGTACTGACATTACTGGATTGACCTCTGGGCTGCAACTGCTGTATATCCATACATGTGTAATTGTAAATGCTGCACGTAATTTGCATATTCTTAATTTCAGTGATCTTTTACCCCTGATTTAGGATAAGTGTGCTTGTTTATTTGCTTATTTGTTTGTTTTTTTCTTTTTTTATTGTCATCTGAACTCATTATTTCACTTTGAGCACCTTTTATCTTTAGGCATAGAACAAAGCCCCATTTATGTATGGATTGTCTTGTAAATGAAAAAGGGAGAACACAAAGACAGAGAAAGAGAGAAAGAGAGAGGGAGAGAGAGTAAATGGATGGCTTGTTTTACTGATAATTTCTTAATGTAACTTACCCTGAAGAGAAGGCCACATGATGGCCAGTAGAAAGGTGAATGTTGCTCCCTTCATTGGCTCCTGTAATAAATCAAAAAAGAAAAGAAAAGAGCATCAGGAGCCGCTTGGTACATACAGTATCAAGGATCACGTGTCAAATCTGACCAGTTTTGCTGGGCATTTGCATGTTTCGTTTGTTTTTGGTGTCTTTCTTGAGCTTAGTCATCCTCATTAAGGTCTGCTGACTGTCTTCTGATCACTACTGAGCACAACAGCGATCCAGTGGCAAGAAAAACATCTCACTTCCTCATTTTCTTCACATATCTGCTGCATCACTGCTGGCTATGTGACAATTACAAGGCAAAAAAAGGCAGAGGCCAGTGTGACCAGCAACGTTTGTGTATGTGAAGAGAAATATAGCTGTGGTTAGTTCATCACTGAGCTGCATATCTATCTGGAATGGAGTGCTGACAGTTAATGAGTCAAGCCTTAGTGTCTGAAATGTCTACAGCTTAAGCCCTTAAAATCTCAGGCTTATCATGTCTTAAGGCTTATTATACAGTAACCACATAATAAACAATGCAAACTGAGTTATTCTTAAGTTATAGGAGGGACGAGTAGAGGTCTGGACCTGCTGGGTTTTACTGGTTACTTTGTCCAACACCAGGGCTGTTCCTTGTTTCTTGAGTGGTCTAAGCAGCCACAAACGGCCCCCCAGTTTACAAGGGGCCCCACAAGCATGTACTTATATATGCTGGGGTCCAAAAGTCTGAGACTAAACCAAAAATTTGGCTTGGTTTTTATTTAAGCAAAGGTCTGTTGACATTCAAAATAAGTTAAAACATCCTCTTTTTCTTTTGGTCTGCATTTCGTTTCACATTTAACAATCGAGGAGAAAAATAGTACAGGTAATATAAAATGTGCCATAACTTTCACACAGGCCACATGTTAGGTTTTATTTTTCCTTCAATATGTCAAATTTAGCAAATAAACAGTAATCGTTTATTTAATTATGCAGAAGTGTGTCTCTGTAGAGGACGTGTTCACTTATTTACACTTATTAAACATAGAGAACATGTCACATGACCAGGGGTGCCTAAACTTTTGCATATGATGGTATGTTGCTGATGACTTTGCTTTTAAAAAATCAAGAAAGCAGAAAGGAGGCACATATCACTAAATCACACCTTGTAATTAAAATTCATATCACATTTTGTTTACCATAATAATATCATTGTGGTGGGTGAGGAGCGCCCAAATAGGTTAAGCAATGGCCCTGATCAACTCATCACACAAGATACAGCAATAAAATGAGAAATATTATGGTATTGCTAACAGCATATTCTGCAAACAGCACATGAAACTAAAGCTCCGGAATGTCAAATTCAGACTTTCAGTGGCTTTTTTGGTCCCACTTGCACAGTTGAGATCTCGGTAGCTAGTTATTGAGCCGAATCACGCGGGCTAAATCAGGCCACACTTTCACTCGCAACCCATAAAAAAAGACACAAACAAAAACATGACGCTATTTAGTTACCTCCAGTCCATCTTTCAGGAAGGAAACACACATGCAGATTTGCCCTAGATCTTCGGGAAGACTTTCAGAGATACAACCAGTAAACATCCATTGTAAAGTCCTTCTGATAACCTGACGGCCAAGGAGGAAATGTTTTGAGCAAGGTACTTGAGATAATCTCTAGGGGCCATAGAGCCAAACACATAAACAAACTCTATAGCACATGTGACTTCTCCTCTCTGCACACTTCACTGGCCACATTGTGAGTGAACAGAAATGATGCAGACTGATGCAGATTTCTGTGGAAAGCATTATGCAAGAGGCCTCTGCTTAGATAGGGGGCTGTAAATCAGATTTTGTCTGCAGTTGTTGGCTTTTAGCACAGTTTTCTCCCCTCTTTCTTTAAGAACTGCTGTCCTGGCCTGGTTTGAATGGGCCATTGTGTCACTCACAGAGATTGTGATGTCTGTACAAAGGGCTGTTTGAGCTGGAAATATACTGAGATTAAATGTTGTCCTTAATTAAGTGATTGATTGTATGAGAGGCCAAATGAATTGCAGTGAAAGGCTGCAGCTTTTGTTCCATCACCCACTGCATTTTATCTTGAACTGTAGTCTGTGTGTGCTGACACTGCTCTGTTTGGCTGAACTGAAATATGGAGCATTAATATAAAACTTCATACAGTTTCTTTTTATTTATTTAAGTGTGCAGAACTCCACAAGGGTTCTTTAGTAAAGGCAAAGGTTCTATACAGAGTTGTGACAACTCAGATAAATGGTTCTTTGCATGGTTAAATTGCTGTGTGATGGAATAACTGTTGTATATGAACCCTTTTGGGAAAAAAAAAAGTTCTCTACAGCTCCGAAAAGGGTTCCTCTATTGGTAAACTTGCATAATTGACAGATTCTCATCCAGAGCGACGCACAGTTATTCATTGGCTGTGCTCACTGGTACAAGCTGGTGTTGAGGGCACTCTGTATGCATTTTGCACTATATAGAACACTTTTTGCTAAGAGAACACAAGTTAATATGAGCATTATGAACGATCCAACTGATTTCAATTGCGATAACTTAAAGCATTTCACTGGCTTAAAGAGTAAGATCATCCCATTAGGGAGCCAAATACAGCAAAATAAAACCAAACGCTAGTGCCAGAACAAGCAAGAAGTGAATCAAAACATGTTCCAACAGGAGTGAATTCCAAGGAGGACATGCCATTCTGACGCTCTCAGAACCAGCTCCACCGAAACAAAATCAAATGTGTTTATCTGCTCTGTTGCCAGGGCTGTGAGAAAATTCTGCAGAAATTTTGCAAGAAGGTCTTGCACGAGAAGTCTTATCATAAATCTGATTGATTTACCCAACCACACACACACACCCACACACACAGAGCACATATAAAAGTTAGGGTTCTGCATCTAAACAAACAACACAAAGAGACAGAAAGTGTGAAAGATCCTCAAATGCAAGACACACACACAGACACACACCCACACACACACACATATATATATATATATATATATATATATGAGCTAAAAATAAAAATACACCAAGGAAAATTGATTGATGTCTGTCTAGTGTTTGTTCTTTTTTAGATGAACCAACAAAAATGATTATTATTACATTTTTTATTTTATATTTTTAGTTTGTGCATGGAAAACAGCATGTCACACAAGTGACCTCACAGATGCTGAAGTATAATTTTTCCATGAAACAAAAATTTTGCTTAATTGGTAAAAATGCATTAGACTTATTGTATGTCCTGTATATATGAAATAACATTTTATTTTAATAATGAATCTTGTCCAAACATAAAATGTTATTCATAGGTGCATCTATCTGTCTATCTATCTATCTATCTATCTATCTATAGAATATAGAAAGACTTATATGTATATATATATACATATATATACACACACACACATACAAATACACATAAAGAGAGAGAGAGAGACTGAGATAAACAGAGTGAAAAAAGACAGATAAAGACACCTAAATGATGCAGACTTACCGTTGAGTTACTGTTGAGCCTCAAGTCATTGCCGTCAGTCATTAAACTCCTGTTAGTCCCTGAGGCATAACGGCAGCACCGCTGCGAGAAACTCCTGTGTGTGTCAGTCTGTTATGGGTCTGCCGTTGGCTCTGTGCTTGTTTTGTGCAGCGTCATTCATTTGGGCCACGCCCACTGCGCTAGGATTGGCTGACAGTGAAACAAAGGCTTAAGTATGCGTTTCTGAACACGTCTCTGCCGCTCTCTATAGTGTTACTGTCTGTTTACACTTCTGTCTGTCTTCATTCATTTCAGCTGTGCTGTTTTCTGGTTTTATATTGTAAAACTGACACTGTCACTGTTGTTGCTGTCACTTGGAAGACTAACATCGTTTGTTTGTTTGTTTGTTTCTTTGTTGATTTGTGTTTATTTTTAGTCATTATCTCCAAGAAAAAACAATTCACACTAATCAGGTAAACAACATAATACGACATAAAAAGAGATAATTTTTTTTATAATTGAACACTTTAAACAATCACTGTGTTTTAGAGAATGAGTATTTCAGGATGAGTGAGAAAGAGAGAGAGACAAAGAGAGAGAGAGGGAGAGAGAGAGATAGAAAAAAGAGAGCAAGAACGAGAGTGAGACAGAGAGAGCATGAAAGAAAGAAAGAAAGAGAGGGAGAAGAAAGCAAAAACAAGAGAGATACAGAATGAGAAAGATTAGGATAGAGAATGAGACAGAGAAAAGATAGACAGGCAGGCAGACAGACAGACAGATAGGCAGGCAGGCAGACAGACAGACAGACAGACAGATAGATAGACAGACACATAGATAGACAGATAGATAGATAAATAGACAGATAGACACATAGATAGATAGATAGATAGATAGATAGATAGATAGATAGACAGACAGATATTTAGATAGATAGATAGATAGATAGATAGATAGATAGATAGATAGACACATAGAAAGATAGATAGATAGATAGATAGATAGATAGATAGATAGGTAGATAGATAGATAGATAGATAGACTAGAGAGAAAGAGAGCAAGAAAGAGATAGAACGAGACAGAAAAAAGCCAGACAGCTAGAAAGAAAAAGGGAGATAGGGAGAGACAGATAAATAGAAAGAAATGAATGAAACAAAAAAGAGAGAGAAGAATAAGCGAGAAAGAGAGAGAGAGGGAAGCAAGAACAAGAGACAAAATGAGAAAGAACAAGAGAGCAAGAAAGAGAATGAGACAAAGAAAAAGAGGAGGATGGATGGCTAGAAAGAGAGACAGCAAGAAAGAGAGGGAGAAAGAGACAGAGGAAGAGAAAGAGAGAGACAAAGTTACAGAACAAGAGAGAGAGAAAGAAAAAGACAGTTAGAAAGAGAAAGGGACAGAGGGAGAGAGAGGGGAGAGTGAGAACAAGCAAAAGAGATCAATGAAACAGGAAAAGAGTAAACGAGAAAGCAGGAAAGAGAGGGAGAGAGAAGAAAGAATAAGAAACAGAGAGAAAGAGAGAGAGAGAGATACTATGCATGTCGAAATGTAATGCACTCCCAAAGTCTCTCTCTCGTTCTTCCATCCCTCAGGCGCAGCACGCAACAAAAATCATTATGGAACGATGAGCTCAGCGGCTGAGTAAAGTTTTCCACCTGAACTTTTGCCAACAAATCATGAGGAATGAGCTCCTGAAAAGTTCCCGGCGGCGCTAATCCAAACTCGTTTAACAGCGATTTGTGAGTTCAGGTCATGCCTTCAACATGGCGGTGGTAGTATGAGGGAAGACTGAATGAAGGAGGGAAGAGAACTCTGAAAACTTGGACTGGAGTTCTGGGCAGCTTCTGTCTGTAGCTTAAAGTCCGGACCCCCTCATAGCTGTAAAAGGACTAATGTAGGACTGAGGAACAGGGCGAGATGTGTTGGGGGTGGGGCTTGTGAACACTTCATCAGGGGAACAGAAGGTGAGGATGTAAATTTATAGGGCGTTAGATTGGAAGAAGGCGGCATGTTCCTCCCCCCAAACTTCAGTTATAATACAGTTATGATTCACTCGAAAGAGGCCCCGAATATTCTGTTGTAACTCCCGTTAGGATAAAGCAATCTGAACCAAAAAATACGCTACATATCTTGACGTGTAATCGATTGGATTCCATGTGATGCTGGAAGTGATCACTGTTTTCTGCCAGACACATGAAGGGGTATGCACCCGGAAGTTGTAAACGGAGGTTAAACGTCGTGACGGCTGTTTGGCGCCTACCTCATCACTCCAACGCAGGGGCATCCCGGCTTGTTCGAAGCTCTATATACTGAGGAGCACATTGCACATTGTTTGGTTCAGATTGTTTCATCCTAGAGAGAGTTATTACAGAATATTCGGGGCCTCTTTCGAGTGAATCTCCCTGTAGAACTACATTACTGAAGAGTTTAACCAGCTGTGGAACTATAACAGCATCACGAAAGGTCACACACTGCTGTCCAGACAGATGAGACGAGCAGAGAGAAACACACCAAGAACGCTGAGACAAACATCATATTCACCTTTCAGAACAACAGCTGCTATTTCTTTCACATTATAACTGTGCAATCTGCACATTTCTTATGAGGGCTCTGTGATTACGCTTGAGTTTGCATCATGTGGGTCGGCTGGAGAAAACAATTGATTGATTAATTGATTGATAGATTGAACAATACATACTTAAAAAACCTGGTTCTTCAAGAGTTCTTTAGTAAAGGCAACCGTTATTTCTGTACGTAACCATTTAATGGTTAAATGGTTCTTTGCATGGTGAAATTGTTCTTCAGATTGACAGGGATTATGTTGGTTCTATATAGAGCCTTTTTTAAAATGGTTCTAGACAGCATCAAAAAGGGTTCTTCTATTTTTCTAGTGTTCTTTTTTTACTCTATAGATCCGTTTTCCAAAAGATTCTACATGAAACCAAATACAGCACATTCTCAAACAATCTGAAGAACCATTTCACAGTGCAAAAGCATGAAATGGCTACATAGAACTCATGGTTCTAAATGGAATCATTAAATTTCCTGAAGAACCTTTGAAGAATCTTTGCTTCAAGTGTGTATTTAAAATTAAGTTGGAATATATTGTATTTGGAATGCACTCACAACATATAATACATTGTAATAGGGGTCACTTTACACAAATTGTTGGTCATTTTGAACATGTGTAGGACTCCGGAACCTTCATGTGTCTTACCATGTAAGAAAGCAATATAATATTGGTGGTTTATATGTAACAAAATATTGTATTTCCATAGCTTCGCCTGTGCATTTCTCTTAGTGAGGTGTTGATGGCTTCAAAAATGTATAAACTGCAATGTTTCTGCATATAAAGACCTCTAGTAAAAAAATAAATCAATAAATAAAACTGACATGTGTATATCTATCTATCTATCTATCTCTCTCTCTCTCTCTCTCTCTCTCTCTATATATATATATATATATATATATATATATATATATATATATATATATATATATATATATTTCCCGGCCAGGCAACCAGGGTCATTTCTGTGTGGAGTTTGCCTGTTCTCCCCGTGTCTACGTGGGTTTCCTCCGGGTACTCCCGTTTCCTCCCACAGTCCAAAAACATGCAGTTAAGCTAAGAAACTGCAATGTTTCTGCATATAAAGACCTCTAGTAAAAAAAAAAAAATCAATAAATAAAACTGACATGTGTATATCTATCTATCTATCTATCTATATATATATATATATATATATATATATATATACATATATATATATATATATATATTTCCCGGCCGGGCAACCAGGGTCGTTTCTGTGTGGAGTTTGCCTGTTCTCCCCGTGTCTGCGTGGGTTTCCTCCGGGTACTCCGGTTTCCTCCCACAGTCCAAAAACATGCAGTTAAGCTAATTACCCCAGGTGTGTGTGTGAATGTGTATGTCTGTCTACCCTGCGATGGACTGGCAACCTGTCCAGGGTGTATCCTGCCTTCCGCCCAATGACAGCTGGGATAGGCTCCAGCACCCCACCGGGACCCAGAAGGATAAACAGTTTAGATGATGTATGTATGTATGTGTATATATATATATATATATATGTATGTGTGTGTGTATATACAATATATGTGATACAGTGAACATAACACAACACTTTGTTTTCACAGCAGTCGTATTTCTAAATAATAAGTTTTATTTTGTGAATATACCATAATGTTCTACTTTATTTTAATTTTTTAAATTTTGTTTTAAATTATACTGATAACATATAGTAGTAAATTCCTGTATTTTCTGTATCACTGTATCACATTGTGTATATATCTATATCTATCTATCTATCTATCTATCTATCTATCTATCTATATACATATATACTTTTTTCTAAGTAAATGAACTTACTATCCAGACTCATTCTAATTTTCTTAGGTGCCGAAATTATTTTCATAGTACTCTATATAGAAAATGCTATTTATATGTTGAGATATACTGACAACATATCAAAAAATTATTTTTATAAGGGTCATGTGATTTACAAGATGTTTTGGCTGTGTATTCTCATTTAATAATGTAATGTACTGTGATTATATTACAATATTTTCCACTTTATTTGAGAATAAACTGACATAATATCACAGTATATTCCAGTTTCATATGGATTACATGACCTACAAGCACTGTTTACCCATACAAAAGCATAATATATTAATGATACATTATGATATATTCCACTTACATTTCCGAGTATACCGACCGTTTATCACAATATACTTCACGTGACTTACGGCAAGTTTTCAGAGATACATAAATTCAGAAGTCAGAATCTCTCGGTATCTCGCATAACCACACTGATACCGGGACTAAGAGGCTCTGAGAATGACTGTAAAATGACAGCAGGGGGTTTCAACTGTAACCGTTAAGATGATGGCATGATAAACCACCTAATTTCAGTACTCTGCATTAACTCAGCCTGTGTCCAGCAAGGCTGGGAATTTTAAGTGCTGTCACCTCCATAACAGAATCACACCTTTCTGGAACACGTGTGTTCACCTGTGGGATTTCTGATCTAGATCCTTATCTATCGCCACTGATCAGGCACTTCTGTCACATATTGGGGTTTCCACACATGGAATCTAGCCAACCTGTAACCATGGGATTTTTCAATTAAGATCCTGATAGTGTTTATTAAGCTCATAGTATCAGTTTTGGTGATGAGGTTGCCAGACGGGATTTCTCACCTTTGGCCACAAGCAAGTTTATATGAATGGAAGAAAAATTCATTGAAAGACTCTCCTACCACATGTAACTATCACTGGATTGATTAGAGGAACAAAAAAAGACTTCAGAATTGTGGCTTCGTTACATTTAATACGATCTGTGAAGTTTCTTGTGCGATCATTATTAATCATCACAGTAAATTTGGGAAGAGTTCTGTATGAAAGTTACTATAAAGGCAGCTTTTCTCAGGCCTGGTCCTGGATTCCCCCTGCACTTTGTGTTTTCCCTTCTCCAGACAAGCTATTTAACTCATCAGCTCGTCCTCCAGCTCTCCAGAATATCAGAGAGCAGGGAAAGCTTTAAAATGTTCACTGTAGGGAGACCCCCGGAGAAATGTAGAGAAAAGAAATATAACTCTAATGGGAAAAACAGTCCATCTGATAGTCCTAACCGAAAGAAGCCCTGTAAAGTGGATGTATTTCACAACCAAAGGTATTGGGCAATCCTTAGTTTCAATATAGTATGGCAGAACCAAGAAGTCTGTTTGGGGAAATTAAACAATTACTTTCTCTTTGTTTTTCTAAGAAAAGAAACGCCCATCAGAGCTGATAAGTTTTTTCTCTCTCAGTGACTAAGACTGCTAGGAATTCAGCTACGTAACTTTATATGAAAGAATATTGGAATTTAGTCATTTATATCATACAGTGGATGTGAGTGTATAACTCAGTATAGTACAGGCAGGTATCATTATGACTAGAACACTTTCACTTCAGCTAAACATAAAGTTATAGGCCTGTAGAATCTCCAGAAAAAGCACTGCCCAACCAAAGACAGTTTGGAGCAGCTGCACATGACCCTAAGGTCACCATTCAAAAAGCTAAGCATGGGCTAGTGGGGTATTAAGCCCCCCAGCATTGGGCTGTGGAGGAGTGCGTTCTCTGGAGTGATGGAGCTCCATCCAGTACCTTTGGGATGAGTTGGAGTGATCCAGAACTGACCATCCAACATCAGTACCTGACATCACTAATGCTCAATCAAATCCTCACAGCATTGTTCAACATCTAGTGTAAAGCCTTCCCAGAAGAGTAGAGGCTGTTACAAAGAGGGACAAACTCACTATTAACACACTTCATTTCAGAAGAAATGCTGGAAGAGCAGGTGTCTACAAACATTCTGAACTCTATATTAGTTTATCAGTGTTGAAGACAGAGATAGAGGTTCGCCTGCATGACTAGAGATTTATGGATAGGTGGGCTAAGCCTTTACTAGGGGGGTTTGGGGCTTTGCTTTCCCTGAAATGTCCAGAAATGTCTGTCCATCATGTATTTTTAGAGTAGCAACAGGTATCAAATTGATCCAAGTTATAACTATTCAGTGAAGTAGGAACACAGCAGATTTGTCTCTTGATAGTTTGTATTAGACTTACACAGGTAGGTGAAGGCAGTGTTAGGAGTCTTGCCCAAGGACTCTTATTGGTATAGCGTAGGGTGTTCACCCAAGCGGGGATTGAACACCAGTCTACAGCGTAGAAGGCAGAGCTGTGACCCACTACACTATACCAACCAACATTAGCTACCATCCTGAAGTCCTGAAATCCTATCTTCTCTCCCTTAGATGCTGCAGGTTCTAAATATGTGATTGAAATGTACAGATTATACATTAGTACCTCATCATAACTGCTCCTTCAGCCCTGTCAGTCTCCTTCAGCTCCTTTCTCTCTCTCTCCTTGCCTGTTTAGTAACACATTATATTTTTTTAATTAAACTTGAAGGCTTAATTTTTTCTTGCGGGCCTGACTGGCCTCCTTGTGGTATAGTCTGAATGACAATAAAGTTTGACTTTCACTCGAACTGTGACCTCTCTTAAAGGAACTTAGTCTACAGATTGAGGATATAATATTGTGTTGTGATCAACACTGTGACCTTTTCACTGAAATTAACTTTCTGTGAAAAGCTGCCAATAATTTTATTTCTGTCTCTTTCCCTCGTTCACGATCTCACTATCTGCGAAATGTCTTAAAATCATAAATGTAGTTGGATTGTCAGCCCGCTGATTTATTTAGATTTTTATTTATTTTAGCTTTATTTATTCAGGGTAAATAGTATTGAGTTTAAAAATCTCTTTTACTAGTGAGCTCTGGCCAAAAAGGCACACAAAGCAATCAACAAAGAAACACCACCACAACCAACAAAATCAAATCAGTGTCAAAAGCAAATTAACAAACAAAAACAAACAGACTGATACAGCTCTTTAACCAGTATCTTAAAATCACTCAAGGAAATAAATTTCTCCAATTTCAAATGTTTTTGCTGATCATTCCACGCAGATGGAGTCCATTTTATCAGCTCCACTTACTATATATACTCAGAATAGTCCACCAACCAAAAATATCCAGCCAACAGCGTCCTGTGGGCAGCGTCCTGTGACCACTGATGAAGGACTAGAGGATGACCAACACAAACTGTGCAGCAGCAGATGAGCTATCGTCTCTGACTTTACGTCTACAAGGTGGACTGACAAGGTAGGAGTGTCTAGTAGAGTGGACAGTGAGTGGACACAGTGTTTAAAAACTCCAGTAGCACTGCTGTGTCTGATCCACTCAGACCAGCGCAACACACACTAACACACCACCACCACGTCAGTGTTACTGCAGTGCTGAGAATGATCCACCACCCAAATAGGACCTGCTATTTGAGGGTCCATGGGGGTCCTGACCACTGAAGAACAGGGTAAAAGGGGGCTAACAAAGTATCAGAGAAACAGATGGACTACAGTCTGTAACTGTAGAACTACAAAGTGCACCTATATAGTAAGTGCAGCTGATAAAATGGACAATGAGCGTAGAAACAAGTCATAATGTTATGCCTGATCGGTGTATATTGTAATTGTATTGTAATGTTATTGATATTACAAGTTGTTCACTATATATTACAAGTTATTCACTACACATTCTCTGGTAACACCACAGACCCTCCCCAGGCTAATATGATTGGCTTTAAACTTATGGGGTCTGATATGGCTGGTTGAGCTGGGTGTTACATTTTTACACATTGCTAAACAGCATCGACTGCTGTCTCCTCTTATGCTATGTTAGTAAACCTCTAGTACACAGACGAGGCAGCCCTGGACTGGAGCAGCAGCAGTGCCTCCCCCAAATTCTTAGCGCCCTGCTATTACATTATGTTGTGAATCTGAAGACACAATGGTGTAGTTGAATGAGAAAAATCTATTGATGACCTTTGAGGGGGGTGTTTGGGGGTAAAGCTCCCCTAAAACTGGCCTAGCAATGCCCCTGACGCTAATGATGTAAAGGAACTGAGGAACTGCCTCCCAGGCATCCTTCACCACTGTCCACAAGCTATTCATAGCGACTGGATTTTTCTCAGTGTATTACCACAAGTTCTCAGTGGGATGTGGCTGTGGCTTCACCTGAATTTCATTAGATTTCCTCACTGGACTAGCTCTGTGTCATCTTGCATCGTCATATTGGAATGTCCAGTCATTTTTCTGTGGTTCCAGAGTGTTAGGGAGTCTCTAAAACCAGTCACCACTCAGGGGCAGGAGGCGGAGCCTGTTCAGTCCTAACCATGGAAGTCCACATGATCTAGGGACTCCAGATAACACAGACAGGAAAGGCCAGAACCGGCTCCTCTTTCCATTAATTCCATTTTAGTGTGAATTCTAGTTGACCAGCATACCGGCATCCAAAACACAACATATGCTAGTTTTGCTGGTGGTCAGCTAAGCTGGCCTTTCTAACGGTGATCAAGTAGTACTTTCAGACACTGTATTCCTCCTCTAGGGGGCACTACTGAGGATCTTTTCTGCTGACGGCTCTTCAAAGCCTGCACCCAGCGTGCTGCCTCGTCACCAGCCTCTCAGAACAAAGAATAAGACAATATTGCCATACAGATGAAAAGTCACACACTTTGCATCACTGGATTTTTGCTCATGTTTCTGTTCTTTTACAGCAAACCACAATGTCACACATCCCACTACCAAACATGAATGATGAATGATGAATGATGAATGAATGATTCAGTCAAAGCTGTGTTCTGAGGTTTATTTTGATTGTGCTGTCTGACTGCCTACACTACAAAAGAGTTCCTTCTGTAATGAAGGGTATCAATAGGGAGTTTCTTCTCCTTTGCTGTGGTAACAGCCTCTACTCTTCTGGGAAGGCTGTACACTAGATGTGGAACATTGCTGTGAGGATTTGATTGAGCATTAGTGGGGTCTGGATGGTCAGTTCTGGATCACTCCAACTCATCCCAAAGGTATTGGATGTTGCTCCATCACTCCAGAGAACACAGTTCCACTGCTCCACAGCCCAATGCTGGGGGGCTTTATACCCTTCCAGCCCACACTTGCCATTGAACCTGGTGACCTTAGGCTCATGTGTAAGTGCTCTAGAGTGTCCCATTTTAATAGTCAGTGCTTTTCTGGCAATGTGTCAGCAGCAGGGAGCCATTCACTCATTACACAGGCTGATGCCAATCATCATTAATGTTCACTGTACACACTAAAAAAGAGGGTAGTAAAATCATGACTTTGTTATTCGACCATGCAGTTTAATAGCAAAGTGAAACTCAGACCTCGTGAATTGGTAATGACTCATGAATTCCCTGGTGTTCCTGCTTCTGTTTTTCATAAAAAAGTAGGATGTGCATCTGGCCACTAGATGGAGACAAAGCTCATATTCAGCTAGGGGCACCTAAATTAACATAACAATAAAAGTAATAACAATAATAATAGCAATACATTATTTTGTTTATAAATTTGTATATCTTTAAACATGGAATACATCTCAAAGTGAACAAATACAACTGATATGTAAATATATACAAAAAGAGCAAAAATAAAAATGCTCAAGTGCTAGGTGGCTAAAATATGCTAAAAGAAGATGCTACAAACAGAATGATACAGTGAATTAATTTTAATACTAAAAAATGTAAAATATCAGGTTAAAAAAGAAAGTATAAAAGTATGAAGTTAGATAAATAATTTAAAAAATGAATTTGATTCTGTACAATCTAAATGTATCATGCAATTTTACAAATCATGATTTTACACATGAAAAGTTCAATAACTCTAAAGATATTCCCAATGTAGTTGTTAGAAGGTCACTTTGTCTTCTGTAACTGAAAGGATGAAAAATGGATGAGTATGTTTTTGAAAATGTCTTCAAACACTTACTTCTTAAATGAAATTAATCTTCAGAATTGAACGTTCAATTTTAATTCCATTTTAGACGAGGTCATATTACTGGAACACCATTACTGAAAGTTGTAAATAATCTGAGAGTAAATAATTCTTATCATTTAGAGTTTAGCTTCTTTCTGCACAGTTCTTACTTAACTACTTTTTGCCACTCAAAGTATATGTGATAAGAACTCACCACATTTCTGTTCTTCTACAGGTCATCCAGGAGTCCACTTGACTGTTCCCGCACTGTAGTTTGGAAAAGGAAAAAAAGCAACTCTGAGGTTTCTTATAATAAAAGGCCTTATAAAGACTGGGCCACTTTATCTTTAAAACACTAGATTGGGAGTGTTTTTTTTTTTCTTTTTTTTAATTTACATACAATTTTAGAAAATGCTTAATTCCACTCGCACTGCAAAAACTGGCATCTTGTGAAGTGAAATGATCTTAAATCTAGCCCAAACATCTAAAATTTCCCATTTTGGTACGATTGTGCACTTATTATAAGATTTTTTAGTTCATTTATAGATTTAGATTTTTTGCTTGTTTTAGGTAATTTTATTAAGTAAGATTATCTCACTATACTGGTAGATAATTTTGCTAGTTTTAAGCACATTTCTAAACACAAGCAAAATTATCAGCCAATATAATGAGATAATTTAACTTAATAAAATTACTTAAAGCAAGTAAACAATGTGTGGAAATAAGGTAAATAATCTTAAATTATGCTTACAACAATCTCAACAGGAGAAATATTAGGTTTATCAACTGTATTTAAGATCATTTTGCTTGCCAAGGTATCATATTTTGCAGTTTGCTAGATAGTTCTCCCTCAATCACACAGTTAGCACACAATTTTCTCCAAAAGATGTTTTGAACACATGTTAATGTTTCTAGTTGATATACATGAGCGTGTATTCCTGGACTTTCAAAGACCATTCGGTGTCCATGTCGCCGGAATACTAAACATTCTACGGCTCCGTTCGACGGTAAAAGTTGGAAAAATTTGACTTGTAATGGAACATTCCGCTTAGCCTCCTTGCCACTGGTGATGGTAAAACTCTCACTGCTGCATTAAAATCAATACAACATCCAGTTTGCCTGAATGTTTAAAGGATACTGACTCAAATCTGAGGCAGTGAAATCTGGTGGCTGGTGTTGGAGTGACAGAAAGCTGAAATTAAACCAGTTCTGAGGTGTTTACATCTGTAGATTGCCAGCTAGGTTAACGCTAGCCACCTCCTCTCTCCCGGTTAGCAGCACTCCAAGTTAGCTTAGCTAATGGGTTTCAGATCCAAGTGGTGCCCCGCACCACTGTACAGGTTCAATTCTGATTGGTGCTGCAACAAATGTAGACTATAGAAACTCAGAGCAGAGTGAAGGGGGTTGGGAGGGACAGATGCCACAAACAAGCTTGTTCTGTTGTGTTTTGAGTCATAGCCTGCCAGACTAAGCTAATGCTAGCTGAGCTGGCATGTTAGAGTTGCACAGAACAAACTCGGTTCCAGCTAACTGATGGAGAAGATAAAGAGTCATATCAAAGAGCGTCGAGTGACTAGCGTTGGAGTGACAGATGAAATAGAACTGTGTATGTAAGGTGTTAGCCTGTTAGCCATTGAGCCATTGTCCTGCATAGTATTCATTAGGTATTTGGTGCAGAGAATGGCGTTATAAGGTCATATGAATGTTTTGCAGCTATGAAGTTGCTTGGGCCAGGCAGCTGTATGTGTCCGCTACAGCTATGAGGCCTCCCTCCCCTTGAGGTGAAGAACTCTTTCCTGGCCAACTAAGCAATTTTGTGCCACGTTTGGGGAGTTTTCCCCCTTGCCAGCTGTTACTACTGAACAGCGTCCTTGGGTTTGAGAAAGGTGCTATATAAACTGAACTTCTACTTCTTCTTCTTCTTTTTCTTCTTCTTCTTATTATTTGGCTCTACAGTGCAAAATAGGCTGTTACCCTTCTTGTTGGGATAAAAAGAGTGGCCCAAGCATATAAATAGAGCAAGAAATATAGAAAACCATCGATTGGTCAAATGCAATTATCATAGAAACATCACACAAGCTGCGTCTCAAACCGCATACAACCATATGAAATAGTATGTAAAAAATAGCACACCACCTTTATCAGTACATTCTGTAGAATAGTACATAAGTAGTTTGAGATGCAGGCATGATGTCACCTGAGGCAGATGACCACCACTGTAAAAAAGTAAAACATAAACCAGAACCTGAAGCTCCTCTGTTGTTGGCACCTCTGTTTGTGTTTATTGTTAACTCTACATTTATATTAGAAGTTACATGACCCCACAAACCTAAAGAGGTTTTCCCTGCTGAACAGAAAAAAAAAAAAACACAAACACAGACCAGTTGGAATGTCATGCTGGTCTAAGCGGGTTTACGCCAGTCTAGTGCTGGTTTAGATGCTCACCATGCATGACCATACTGGTTGACTGGCACACCAGCATCCAAACACAATATATGCTGGTTTTGCTGGTGACCAGCCATGCTGGTTCATGCTGTTCTGGTCAGGGCTGTTACACAATGGTGAACGGACACAGGTACTCTTCCAGGATACAGATAGCTCTGGGTTCGGATAACTGCTGTACTGTACTGCCTCGTGGAAAAATGGCATAAACATTCTTTCTACTTACTTCTTGGACCAGGCCTTGCCTGCTCAGATGATCCACAGGCTTGTGAATCTTGCTCTTGGCCTTCCAACCCTCTAAGTCTGCTTTCTCTCAGTTCCAGTTCTTCCTCTTTGGCCATCAGTCTCTCAATTTTTTGTTTGAATTGACTTAACATTTCGGATTGTAATAGATCCCGGGCGTACTCCTCTCTCGTTTCTGCATCTCTCAATCGCAGTTTCAGCTTCTTCTCCCGATTGTCGTACTTTTCTATTTCCCTTTGGAGCTTTGAAACTTGGCCCTTTGATTCATCCAACGCCTTCCTCAGCTGCCTCTCAGTGAGTCTGCATGCCCCCATTTCCTTCTCATGTTGTCTTTCAATATCCTCACTATCTTTCTGTAGATTTTGCACCGTCTGTTTAGTTTCTTCCAGTTCTTTTCTCAGTTTTTCCTTCTCCAGCTTAGCACGTAACTCCCATCCCTCAAAACTGCTTATCATGAGGTTTTCATAAGAAGATTGCAAAAAGAATTTGCTTCTTTTAATTTGTACCATTGCACCAACTGTCTCGAATAATCTCTCAACACTATTATCTGTGTCAAATAAATTGTGGTACCTTTTCCCACACATCAGCACACAGCGGTCCTTCAGGGCATCCATTGGATCCCCCCATTCATCTCCATGGATGAACATCACCATGGTGTATTCTAAAGCTTCTGCTCCGAACACTGAGGTTATTGCTCGTAACAGATAATGCTCTTTTCCAGTAGCATGACCAGCTCGCATCACTAACAGAAAAGCATGTGGGCCAGGAAACAGTGTTGACGTGCAGTTCTGAATCTCGTGTCTGATGGACTCGACTCCGTTTGAGAAAATCCAATATGAAGCCAGGTGCTCCATCCAGTATGATGGAGCCTTAAATACAGACACTCGTCTTCCAGCAACGATGCTCTCTCTGATGTTCCCCTTTCGTGAGTGAACTGCTTCCTCTCCATGTTTGGATCTCAGTATAAGCGCACATGCATGACTGTTATCAGCAGAATCTCCACCTACTAACACAAGCCTGAGCTCTGTTTTGGGTTCTGCTGATGGCAGCTCCTCCTGTGAATGATCTTCGGCTGTGAAAACAAAAATTTAACAGTTTCTGTTTTTTCAAAACATCTTTTGTCTCAAAATCACTGCATTATTAAACGGTTAAGAGTCTGAATTGTTCACAGCGGTAGTGATTAATTACATGTTTTCTTCATGTACAGATTTTCGAGGTGCAAATAAGTTAACAGTTTCAGTGCATAATTCCTATTTATTTGCTTAGTTTAGGGAAAAAAAAAAAATCACAAAATATAAAATGTGCCATTAATTTTGCACAGGCCATATTTTTTGTTTGATTTTTGCCAATATGTTTTTTCCAGTGTGTCCTCTGTTCTCTGTTCCTCTGAGTGTATTTACACTCAAATCAACAAGACGTCATTTGACCAGAGGCGCCCAAACTTTTGCATATGACTGCATATTAAGATAATGACACAATAAGAAATGGGAGATGCTTTATTTCAAAATCTTTAGTAAAGGAAATGGTTCTATAATGGTTCCATTTTGTTGAAAACAGTTCTATATATCACCAAAAATGGTTAGGCTATTACAAGCTTGGCATTGTAACAACAGCAGAACTCTTTTTGGTGCTTTATAGAACCATATACAACACATTCTCCACATACTCATGTTTCCCTTTGCTAAAGAACCCTTGAAGAACCATCTTTTTAAAATGTGTGTATTTAAACGAGGCTGCTCTATAACATGTAGTCTGACTTGTAGCTGCTAAGCAGCCAAACAGGTGTATGTGGTTAGATCTTTGTTCATTTCCTTTTAAGCTCAAGTAGAAGTTAAAATTTAGTGTCAGAGGCCTAATTTGCATTTAGTTTTCACTTTTCAGAATCTTTCCAGCTACTTTATGAGTCATCATCACATGCTCATGTAGCTTCAGGTCAGTTTCTGTTTACAGTCCTGTAGTAGGCAGGTAGAATTAAAAGTGTGCTGAAAAAATACAAATGGAGTATTTTAAAATGAATATATTTTTCTGCTTACTGAAGTAGTCTGAATAAGATTTCCTGATGAATCAGATAGGTGATATCAAATATACTAACTGCATTTAATGTTTTAATGTTCTATTTACTTAAAAAATATATATATTTTTTAACTAAAACTTAAAAAAACTGACATTTAAAACATTTCAAAGTGTGACCGATAGAAACAAACAAAGTTTTTAGTATAATTTTAAAGCTATTTGTAGAACCTTTTCTCTTTTCTTAGAAGCAGAAGTAATATGAGTTATAATCTGAGTGTGTTATGGTTCATTATCACTCTACACTCTACTATACACTCAGGAATTTGTGCTTACACCAATTTTGGGGCTAATGTTGACTAAAAGAAGTACTTACACGGTTCTGAGAGCCTCTTTCTGTCGTCCATCGCAGTCGCTGATGGAAGAGTAATGAAAGTTTATGGTGGTTGAATGTGATGTGAGCTTTGTCATGTGCTCTTCAGGACAAAGTTCAGCTGCTTTTGCGTTGTCATGGAAATTATCTATCTTCCTGAGAGAGAGTAATGTAATTAGCACTAGCGGTTTTTTCCTTTAGAGCCTTTAAGACTCTGAGCAAAGCTGAACAGATTGCTGTTTCATGTACAATGCAGTAATTGTAATGCTGAACAAGCACAGAAAGATCGCAGATCCTAAAAACAAAAGTTGGTTTAATGAGAGAACCAAGTCAGGGCAAATCCAAAAACAGTATCCAAAAACAGGCAAAAGTCAAAAACCAGAAAATACAAAAACACAGGCAACCAGAGCAATAAGGGCAAATCCAAAAGAGAAACAATCAAGAAACAGGCAATGGGTTCAGCACACAGGTCATGAAAATAGAAGATAACCACTCAGTAACCAGTAGTGTGGCAACACCTCACAAAGAGGAGAACAAACCAGAAACCTTTTAAGGTCTAAGGCAAACGGGTACAGGTGTGTTGAATTGTGATTGTTGGAAGGGATGATGTCGTGAGGATTGGGATTCTGGGAAATGGAGTCCTGGAGCGTGTTAGGCAGGGGAGGAGGAGCCGGAAGCGTGACAGTGATAGATTCTGTTGCTTTTAGTGGTGGAAAATACTTAAGTGTGATTGTACTTTGTTACAGTACTTAAGCATCAGTTTGGTTTTATTCATTACACTTTCATTTAGATCTTAGACCGACTCTTGTCCGTTGATTTTTTATTAAAATATTAAATCAATTCAGTGTAAAATGAGACTCAGCTATGCTAGTTGACTGTTAGTGCACAGATCAGTATTTTTCTACAGGACTGAGTGATGAATAATGTTGTCCAGTGTGATGGTTATGACAATATCTCACTAACTTATGCATGCAAAGTTCAAGGTTAAGGTTTATGTGTTTTATGCGTATATTATAAAAAATTAAGTTTAGTGAGTTTATTGAAAAAGGCTAAGACGAGATAGACTCACTGGTTTGAGATATGCAGAGTGTGATCAGCTCGTGCTCAGCATTAAAGTTAAATTAAAGTAAAAAAAATCTGACTCACATTTGGGACTTTTAACTGACTTTAGATTAAAATCTTGAGTGAACATTCCATTTTGTCACTACCAAAAAATCAAAACACTGCCCAAACTTTACCAAATGTTTCGGTAGTGACAATTTTAGCTTATTTTGAGCAGATCTCAAAAACGCAGCCAGGACATGACCAGCAAACACAGCTTTGAACAGCTGTGCAGACATAAAATCATCATACTTTACATAAAAACACAAAAAAGTACATAATTGCTAATAAATATGTGTTTCAGTAGTGACAATTCTTAATGTTCCACACTGATTTTCAGACTTTGGGACACATTTACTTCAAAACAATGGGATCTAACTGCTCACTATGTGGCCATGAGGGACAGTGATGCAGCCTCACTTCCTGCTCTGAAATGCAGGGGTGTGGCTAAAATAAGGCTCCGCCTACAGACTAAAACTCTGTGTTTTGGCAGTGATGTGGAAATGTGGGACAACATTTTTTTAATAAAGTTTTCTCATTTAAAAATTAAACTACTGATGCGTCTAAAACCTTTAACTTCTTAGAACTACGTTTGTTTTTTCTTTGATTTACTAAGAATGTGTTTATGGAAAAAAAACCCTAACACAATCTTCAGAATTACATCTGAAATTTCACAGGGTTGTAATATCTTATAACGAATTATATGGAAGATCGATTCAGAAGGACATAAGAGCTCAATAGTGTTTACTAATATACAATAATAATGCACACAGATGGCAACAGATATGAAAACACACACACTGCTGTCGTTCCATGCTTCTATAGAACAGAAAATACAAATAACTATATATAAATATTACTAATAACATAAAGCCAGTAACTTCATTAACCAGCAACTAAGAATATGTGGACAGTTATCTTGTAGTTTGAGGGAGACGTTATTAGACAGCAGATTTAGCATCAGTTAAAATAATTAGTTTGCGTGTAGCGTCAACAATGCACAGGGTTTTCTGCTTTATAAATCTAAAGCTTAGAGAGATTCTGTAGTTGTTTATAGGGCAGTAACGGTAGTCTAGTTCATTAGCTGGAACCAAAATAGCTGATCAGGATCATCATCATCATTATTCTGCTGTGAATTAGCTGATTCCATTTCTAGTTATTTCTCTTTATGGATTTATAATCTTGCATGTTGTTGTGATAAAGAATCAATGGATTTAACCCTTTCAGAATTTTCATTTCTTCTGATTATAGACTCATCAGTGTGGTTCTAGATTTTTATCAATTGCGAGCAATACCCAAAACCCACTGTTACATCAGGTTTCCCAGTTACACAAGTACAATAATTAGTAAACCATAACAATTATAATAAACAAGAACAACAGTTGACCCTTTGCCACAGAAACATACACATATATTGTCGCTGTCGGAATAAAACCCCGTATCTCCAAAATGGGAAGTTCACGGGAGAAGCAGAAACTTCCTTAACTTGTAATGAAAGTTAACGGAACCAGATTTTTTCCCAAGTAATTTTGGAGCATTTCTGTTAGTCCATTCATCATGAAATTTTAAAATAATGCAAAGTGTAATTTGAGTTTTTTTTAAATTGCACCAAAAAGTAAAAACAACAAAAATGTAGATCCAAGGTTTTTGCACAACAGTAACAATATATGATGCTATATATAGTTCAGTTTCTGTGTATTTGCCAAAATGTACAGCTGAGAACAAACATTTTAATATCTTTCATTATCAAAAAAGAAATGTGTTTTGTCTAAAATAATGCCGAGATGCAAACTGAACCATAATCTCACTATTCCTTAATAGTGCAAAGACAGTCTGAGATTGAGAGAGTTTGAGACTATAACTGCCTTGTCCTGCTCTAAGTTAATATACATTCTGTTTTCTGTGTTATTTATTCCATATTTGCCTTAAGCCGACTGACAGAGGTAACTCATATCTTCTTACATCCTGAAGGTTCAGATCTCAGCTCTAACAGAAGATCCTCCTCAGTCTGCAGTGCTGTCTGCAGGCTCAGATGGGATGTAAGGGTCCAGAATCCATACCGTTCACCTCTATCTGCTCTACAGGGTCTTGAGAACGCTTCTGCTTTGTGCTTCTGTTTCTGGTTCCCTTTGTAACCTCTGACATGAATGAAGCCTGAATGAGCACATAGGGGAAGGAAAATGATGAGATAGTTTCTTAACCTCCACCTGCTGGAGTATTGCTGACACTTGGGATTGTGAAATAAGCAAAAATATTAAATGAAGAATTAAATGTCAAATGACTTAAAGTGAGTATCTGATGTTAAATTTTCAATAACGCAACCACAACTTGCTTAGTTTTGCTGCTGCTTCAATTATGCTTATTAAGTTTAAGTTTCTGAAATATGGGCCATTGTTATCAACTGAAAGATGTTTACTTACAGCCAGTCTGTGCATCCATCACCATTACAAATCCTTAGTGTTCTTGACACACCACATCCAGGTCATCTAGACCTCATCTGGAGGCCTAGTCTGATTTTCCAACACTGTCAATAGAGAAACAAATAAAAGAATGTTTAAGAGCTGCTGTTGCCTACTGGATGAATAATTCCTTACAACTAAAAATATCACAGATCCAGAATTTAAACTAAAATACCAAAAATGTGTAATTCAGATGCATCACCATAGTAAATGTGAGCTACACAACATATTTAATTACGTTTAGATTTTGCAGGATGTGATTTATAATCTGTAGATGCTTATTCCACAGCAAATGAACAAGTCGTGATGGATTTACATTAATAAGTGCAAGTAAAAAACGCAAAAATTTTCTCCAAAATGTTTTAGTTATACGTTTTTTTTTAAGTTTGTAATCTCTAAGAAAAAACATACATTTTCTGAAGCATTTTAAAGGTTCTTTCAGAGTTTTTTTCTGTTTATGTTTTACTTTTTCTTATGTTGTACCTGTTATTCAAATGCCTCAAAGAATTATTATACTGTAAAGAAGTTATAGTCCACTTTTTATGCTACTGGTACATATGTCTGCCTGAGAAAAAGGGGAAATATTGTTAGTCCCTTTTGAGATAAAATATGGAGTTCTTATGGTCAATAAGACATATATGTGGTCAGAATGTTTGATATAAATGTAACAGTACTCCATAAAAGCTGAATTTTGCTGAAATAGGTTTTAAAAATGACCGAAAGATGAAATTTCAAAGAAGAAATTTCCATGCATATTTCAATAGTATACTCTCCAATAAAGTAACCTGTTGTGAACATTACTCTTAGTGATGTATGTTTACCTAGACATATTTCATCTGCAAACTTTATTCATTATTTCATAACCAGGTATTGCTATTTACCCCAGAATGTTATATTTGTAGCACAGTTTTGGAATTTTGCATGGTTTAATCAATGAAACAGAGGTTTTGGCCTGAAATTTTCCATGAACATTTATTGTTAATTATTTTATCTGATTTATTTTTAATTATTTAATGTTGTTGTGGAGAAACCCTGCAGAACTGTTAGAAAAGCTGTACTTCTGAATCCATCAGAAACACTGGGCCTCATTTACCAAATGTCCTTAAGAAAAAAAATTCTTCTTAAAACCTATTTATGCAGTTTTCACGATGATTCTGACATTCAGCAGTGTTTTCTTATTTGGGATTTGTTCTGAGGTAAGAACAGAATCTACACACACTCAAGAGCACAAAGGTGAGAACAGTTCTGCACTTTAAGACTTTTTCTTAGGACCTTTCTCAAGTACATATTCAGGAGGAAATGCAGGAAGATACTGGAGAAAGAGGCCCACTGATTGTAAATGAACTTACTGTGGGGTGGAATTCCATCTTTGCTGCAGCGTCGTGAAGGTTTTCTGTCTCCTTCCTCAGTCGAGGCAGCTTTACCTTCTAATTCTCTCTCTCTGGCCCTCAGTTCTTTCTCTTTGTAGTCCAGTTGACTTTCTCTGACCTTCAGTTCCTCACTTTTCTGTCTCATCTGTTGCTCCAGTTTGTTGTGCAGTAGCTCCTCTCGATTCTGTAGATCTTTCAGCTTCTGTTGTAGCTCCTTTTCCCTCTCTGTGTACTCGTCTACTTCTCTTTGAAGTTTGTTAGATCTGTCGTTTGACTCATTAAGCTCCTTCTTCAAGTGTCTCTCACTGAGTCTGGAAGCTTCCAGCTCTTTTCTCAAGTCCTGCTCAGCTCGCCCTAGTGTCTCCAGGTTTTTCCTCAGTTCAGTCTCCTTCAGTTGTTGCTCTGCCTTCATTTCTTCGATCAGCTTATGTTCTCTGCACTGTTGAGCATGAAGTCTTGTGCTTTCCCATGATTCAAAACACATTTTCATAAGATTTTCATATGAGTGCTGAACAAAGAACCTGCTTTTTTTCTTCTTCTGTGTCATTGTCTCAATTTTCATGAAAAGCTCCTCCACATTTTCATCGTTGTTCTCCAGAAAGTAGAATCTTTCTCCACACATCTGCACACAGCGGTCCTTCAAGGCCTTCCTTGGATGGTGCCGTTCGTGTGCATGGATGAACATCACCATGGTGTACTCTAAAGCTTCTGCTCCGAACACTGAGGTTATTGCTCGTAACAGATAATGCTCTTTTCCAGTAGCATGACCAGCTCGCATCACTAACAGAAAAGCATGTGGACCAGGAAACAGTGTTGAGGTGCAGTTCTGAATCTCGTGTCTGATGGACTCGACTCCGTTTGAGAAAATCAAATGTGAATCCAGGTGCTCCATCCAGTATGATGGAGCCTTAAATACAGACACTCGTCTTCCAGCAATGATGCTCTCTCTGACATTTCCCTTTCTCGCGTTAATAGTTTCCTCTCTGTGTTCGGATCTGAGGATGGTGCCACATACATAGTTGTTGCTGGCACCATCTCCGCCAAAGAGCACGAGCCTGAGATCTGTTTTGGGTTCAGGTGACAGTTGCTCCTTGTGTGAATATACTTCAGCTGTAAGAAAGAGATACAGTTTAACCCCTTACATTCCCAGGCGTATTACATCTTACAGCCTATTATTCAATAACTACACTATAAAGAATTTCAGAAATTTTTAAAATAATGTATTGCATTCAAGTCAGTATGATACTATGATACAGGCAGAATTTATTGTATTCATTGAATGGCTACTCCCATATGGAAGAAGAAATATGTGTGAATATTTACAATGTACAGCTGCCAAATGTATTTAACTGTGATTTTTAAACATATTTTAACATATGTCCATACATATACATATATGTCTACACACTGAAACATATGCACATACACTATATGGCCAAGAGTATGTGGACACCTGACCATCATGCCTATATGATCTTGTTGGACATCCCATCCCAAAACCATGGTCATTGATATGGAGTTGATTTTTGAGTGTGTCTGTAGGGATTAATGGCTATTCAGTCAAAACAAGCTCACAATCGACGTTCAAGTTTATCCCAAAGGTGTTCAGCTGGGTTGAGGTCAGGGCTCTGTACAGGCCACTGGAGTTCCTCCACAATAAACTCATCAAATCATATCTTTATGGAGCTCACTTTGTGCACAAAGACACAGTCATGCTGGAACAGGAAAGGCCCTTCCCCAAACTCCATAAAGACATAGTGATCCACCAAAAGCCCCAGACCATTATTCCTCCTCCACCAAACTTTACTGTTGGCACTATGCATTCTGGTAGATAACGTTCTCCTGAGATCCACCTAACAGACTGCTAGATAGTGAAACGGGATCCATCACTCCAGAGAACATGTTTTCACTGTTCCAGAGTCCAGTGGCGGTGCTTTACACCACTCCAGCTAACACTTGGCATTGCGCATAGTGATCTTAGGCTTGTGTGCAGCTGCTTAACCCATTTAATGAAGCTCCCAACACACAGCTCTTGTGCTGATGTTGCTGACAGAGGCAGTTTGGAACTCTGGAGTGAGTGATTCAACAGAGAATAGGAGATTTTTTATGCACTATGCACTTCAGCACTTGGCAGGCCTGCTCTGTGAGTTCGCATAGTCTACTGCTTTATGTCTGAGTTATTGTTGCTCCTAAACGCTTCACAATAATTGCACCTACAGTTGACCAGGGCAGATCTAGCAAGGCAGAAATTTCATGCACTGACTTAGTGCAAAAGTGGAATCCTATGACAGTGCCACATGTAAACTCACTGAGCTATTCAGTACGACCCATTCTACTGCCATTATTGGCTATGGAGATTACATAGCTATGATTCAAACCTGAGCTTGAGCTTGATGTGTGGTGTTGTCATGGCCACCATTGCAACTAAAAAAACTGAAATTGTTCTTTAAAAGTACATGTTCGAACACCAGCAGATCTGTAAACAGTGCTCTGCACCCTCTGTGATCCATTCCATGCCAAAGAAGAAAGAAGGAAACTGCCATAGGTTGCAGCTTTAAAATTTAAATATCATCCAAAGAGAATATTTGCTCGCTCATAAAATAAAATACAGAGCAAATGGGATACATCTGAGCTTCCACAAAACAGCAGCAGTGTAGCTGCAGGACTTCCCCAACTCTGCAATGCACAATCAACCCGCGGCCTTCAGCACTACACTGTCCCTCAGCATTACCCACAACTGATGTGTACCTTGGCTGATGCTCAGACTGGTCACTGCTTCCTATACAAAACCTTTACAATTTTGTTGGTACAAAAATAATTGTATTCCTCTGTGCTTTTATAGTTCCGTAGCTATTCACCATCTACACATTCAGAAAAGACTAAATCATTTACTATATCAAAATAGCTGACAATTTCATGCTATCTACCCACTGTAAACTTGTCCTAACAGCAAATGACACGATCAAGCGACAACGACAAAAACAAAATGCTTCTATTATGATTAAAGAAGCTGTTTACACCAGCTGCAAGCTGCAGAGCACAATGTGATGTGATTATGGTGGGTTTTAATGGGTGCCCTGTCTCTGTTTTTGACACGTCTGTCATTCCGTCTCAAAATGGAAGAGCAGAAACTCATGGATTTCTACAGCTCTTCCAGTAAACAATTTGTAGAGAAATTGACAGAAGGCTGGATGTTAGAGGTGAGTCCTATTTGTCTAGAGTCGCTGCCTGATAACGATATTTAGCAAGTTAGACTACAAGTCAGCAGATACAACCAAGCTGCCCAACACCAGGGGGCAGTATGATGATATTTTAACTGTTAATTAGAATGCTGATGTTGAATGTGCGAACAAAACAACCCATTACATGCACCATTAAATGTCCCAAAACCACATCTGGACAGCTCCATCAGTAAAGCAGCTGACTTGAAGAGCGCCCTTGACGTTTTCAGTGTAGACATCAATCTTTGACGTGATGTGATACGACATTTGGACACTCATTTGTTGTTAGGACAGAGCAAAGTGTTGAGTGACGGGACACCTCCAAAACGCCATCACCATGTGGTCAAAAACAGTATCGCACATCCACTATTTCACCCACTCAGAACGTAAACTATCTAACCGTAACAAAAAACTGGCTACAACTACGAATCACAGGAAAGGTTTTCTAACGCTTACTCGATATCTAATAGCATGCAACCTCACCTAATATAACCTGTCCTAACATAAAATTAAGCCGTAATATGAGACATTATTTCTCATGTTAATTTGATGCTTTTATGAAGACTAATTGGAGAACAAAGATATGCAGGGTTGTATAATAATCATACCCAACTGAGAGAACAATGATGAGCGAAAACATGAAAATTACATAAAATTGCGAATTTTCAGTTGTAATGCCCCTTTAAATGGCCAAAAAGTTAAATAAATACATTCAAAATTCTGTAATAAATTCCAATATTCAAATATGAACAGCTCATTCAACTAAACATATACTCACTGTTACTTGATGCACTTGCTTGAAGACCTTGAGTTATGTTTTCCAGTTGCATCTCGTCTTGTTGGCTATCTTCATTCGTAGATGCCATTTTATAAGAATAAATAAGTAGATTTTTGAAAGTTAGACTGTCTGTTTCATGTAGGAGGCAGCAGCATCATTTCCCAAAGCTAACGTCAGTGCACTGTATTGTATTATATGTATATAATTTTTGCATAATTCAGTGTGTGAGATGTAAACAGAGAGATTCAGAGTGGTTTGGTGTGAAATGGTTCAGATGTCTTTACAGTGGTGGTGATAGGAACCAGGGGTTGCCATGACTACAACACAAATATAGACATTTTATTTACTATCCAAAACCACCAGTGAACCTACACGAGTCTTCTAAGTTTATATAGAATGTTGATGATGGGAAATAGTGGAAAATTTGAAAAAGGGTTTCTTTTGGGGAATTTTGCCTCACAATGCCCCCATGTACCCTTCTGCTATGAATGAATTTAGCAAATTTAGGCCGAAACCTTGTCTAAGACATTAGGCAGCATATTCATAAAGATTTAATGTAACATAAAATTGGGTCTAGTTCCTGTAAGTTCATGACAAACCACTCTGATTGACTCTTTTTTTACATCGTAATTGATTCTATTATTGAGAAATTTGGTGGAATTCCCCTTTAAGACTTATGGTTGTCAATTTTCAGTGTAAAAGGGAAAATCCCATTTTTTCAATTTAATTCAGTTGTTACAAATTAAACAAAATATGAGTAATTTAGTGTGAATATTGTGTTCTAGAGAAATTGTTGTGAGGCAAAATGAAAGGCAAAAAAATCTTCAACATTCCAAATCTTCAGAATTCCCCTTTAAATAAGTCATGTGATCAGTTAGGTGTTATGCCCAGTGTGCAACTACTAGTGAGTGAAACCAACATAAATACATATGCATTTTTTGTAGGGTTTTTACTTATTTAGGTTGAAATTTATTTATGCAAACATTTTATACAGTTGTATAAAAAGTTTGAACTCTTCTGGTAAAATGTTTTGTTGATTTTCTAAGTGAGAGTGAATGAACCCGTTCTCTACAGAGGACCTGCTTAAATCTCACATTTTAGAGCCAAATTTCTATTTATTTGTTAATTAATTTCTGAGTTTAACAGACAAAAGAACATAAAATAACGCCATAACTTTCATAACGTTTCATTATTTGTTCTACATGTAAAATTTAGCAAACAAATAGTAAATGGGTATTGAAATATGCAGAAGTGTGTCTCTGTTGATGATGTGTTCACTTATTTACGCTTAAAAAATCAACAACCCACGGATTTTGACCAGGGTGCCCAAACTTTTACATACTTTTTTTGTATAATAAGACATACTCTAGGCATCTGTGTGAAGATTTGAGCCTTTATAGACTTGTGACAATTCACCTTAACTTAGGGCAAGACCTAAACTGAAGCTTACACACAATAAACAGAAACATACAGTACCAGAAACATACATACATTAATGTGTATTGCCACTTTCTTCTGCACATTTCCATTTTAGGGTTGAAAGATACAAACTGTATGATTAAAATACAGTATATTCTAAGTATAGAATTGTGTAGATAGTTATACCAAATGATTTTGCTTCAGAACTATTGTAAAAAAGTGCTTACTTTGTTTCAGAGGTGTTCTTCTCTGCTCCATCGTAGCAGCTAAATAAATCCCTCTGAGGAGCTATAAGGTTTATGATGGAGGAGCATGTGACTCTTACGTTCCTCAGAGCAAAGTTCATGTGGATGTTATAGAGGAGAACTGCTTTTCCAGTCTAACTGTGAAAGAGAAAGTTAATTCTTAGTGTTACCTCTGTTCTTTACAGCCCTATAAAATGTTGTGCAGAGGTCAAAGACCACAAAGGGTCAAAACACAGGAGCATGTTTTGTCGTATTCATGTAAGTTGCATCATGTTAATTCTGGCTGGGCTATAAATTCCTCAACATCAGTTTATGTAATTTAATGTAAAATGAAGGGGTTATTCAGAAATTGCATAAAATGTTCAGCTTTTATTTTCACTATTCATACTATACAGTTTCATTGTTTTAATAAACAGAAACATATGTAAAGTTTTTAGTTTTAATTTCAACTGTACACTCACCTTCCATTAGCCAAGCAGATAGCAGTATGAACAGACAATAAATACAATATATAGCCTAGAAACAATACAAACACCTTACAAAAAACTTTATAAATGATGGCAGAACACCACACGTGATCAGTAAATCACATTTATGTTTAAATATCATGGCTTACATAAAAAGAAACTTCATTTATTCATTTTTTGGATGGTGGCAATGCATTTTATTTTCTAGAAAAGAATGGCCAACAGAGGGCATAACCTTAGCAGTAGCGGCACATTTGCAATGAACAAGAAGAAGCAGGATGCATGCAATAAAACTTTATTGTGGGAAATCCAAATGTTGTAATTGTCCAATGTCAGGAAACCCGTAGAAATACTCATACTGTTCATAAACATATTACAACTGCTAAACAAAAACAAGAACAAGAGCATAAACAAAATAAAAAGGAGGAGCACTTAGCTTCATGGAAGCTGTATATACACATATATATATATATATATATATATATATATATATATTTACACCTTTGGATAAAACTTTAATGAAAGTTTTAGAATAGGGCATAAGATTGTCTGTATATACAACTAATAATTGGTGATTATGAGATATTGATAAGAATCAAAAGAAAGTAAATAAATAATACTGATGAGATGCAATTTAACTACATAGATATTTTTTTTTTATTACAGACTTCATTAATAAGCCCCCCACTGCTCAGATAATGGTTATACACAAAATAATGATGTGCAATATAATACAACAATGAAAAGTGCTCTGGAAAACGCTTAATTCTGCCTAATTTCTGCTTAATGAAGAGGTAATGGTTTGATTAGCAATTAATTAGCAGTTAATGGTTTGAAAGCAACTTTTTTTAAATCTTTAGTGTTACTTATCATTAATAATGTAACGTGACAGACCAAGTCAGAAGCTTGCAGTAAAAAAAAGAAATGAGGCTTTAATTAAAAAGGGCTTGACAATAATTGTAGTTGGTGAACATGTGTGGGTCAAATCCAAAAGGGCAAAAAGACAAAAGGGCCCAAACATAACCAAGGCAACCAAAACCAAAAAGGGCAAAAGCAGAAGGCAAAGTCAGTAAATCCAGAATCAGAGTCCAATACATGAAATGGCAAACAATAACAGTCAGGAAACGCTCAGTAGCTCTACAAAGGGAAGCAACACCTTGCAACTAGGCTGAGCTGAAGCCCAGGCTTTTCAACTAAATAGATCATATGACATAGAAAACAGGAGCAACATATCAGTACTGATGATTGTGATAGGAGGATTGAGGAAGTTTATGAGTCATGTGATCTCCAATGGGATTCTGGCCAAGTGTGAGTCTAAGGCAGCAGGCTGCGTGACAATTAAATTATCTATAGAAGTCAAAAAATTCCTGCCTGTATAGTTTGAATCTCAGTCTTTGTGCCTGTAATACAGCACAGTTTTGAAGAATGTGAATAATTCATAGCGAGTCCTAGCCAGGCTAAAGTACAGCCTCTACAGATCAGGGTTAGATTTGACAGTTAGCCCCTCAACGTAAACACTGAAAAAGTTTTTCAAACTTTTTTTCACTGATTCACAGATTAAATATATTTCAATTCTGTCATGCTGATACCATCTGACATTTGTGGTTAAAAAATACATTTACCATTGTTTGACACAGTTATGACACACATCATTTATTGGATTTAATATTTTTTTCCCTCTAACATGGATGCCCCTAAGCAGTATGCAGGCTTTTATAAATGTATCATTACTTATACAGGGAGATTCACTCGAAAGAGGCCCCGAATATTCTGTAATAACTCTCAATAGGATGAAGCAATCTGAACCAAACAACGTGCAATGTGATCCTCAGTATATGGAGCTTCGAACAAGCTGGGATACCCCTGCGTCGGAGTGATGAGGTAGGCGCCAGGCAGCCGTTGAAACGTTTAACCTCTGTTTGCAATTTCCAGGTGCAGAGCCCCGTACTCCTTCACTCAGCCACTCGACTTCTCATCAGAATGGTGGTGTACAGTACTGAGCAGCGCGTCAAGGTATGTAGCGTATTTTTTTGGTTCAGATTGCTTCATCATAATGGGAGTTACCACAGAATATTCGGGGCCTCTTTCAAGTGAATCTCACTGTACTAGAGGAACAGTCTCAAAAATCATGACTACATATACAGATACCCAAATACAGACATGCTGCACAAGTAAAGATCAGAGGTCACACATTTAAGCTCATCCACAGGGGGTAGGCGAGCATTTGAGAGTGCCTTAATAATTTCCTCTCTGCTGGGTCATGAGTTTCACAAGTTTATAGCAGCTGTCCTGTCCAGAAACTGGTTGGATCCATTGGGTTTACACAGTGTGTAAATGTGATGTAACAATAAAGGTGATTTGATTTGATATGATTTGTTTAGATGTGCGACAACAATGTGTGTTGTCAAGTCTTAAATATGGTGGGAAGCCATCTTGTCATTGTTTTGCATGTTCATATTACAGGACCAAGTGCAACCTACCGCAAAATCTCCTCCCTTTGATATTCCCTATTTCTCAATGCAAATAAAATCCAGCTTGTATGACAACATTCCAACATCACAGTGAAAATGTTCTGAAGACACTGTTGGTGTTTCTGATATCATATCCAACATTAACCCAAAGACATCTCAATACTCCACATACATGAAAAAGCTGCTGACTATCACTATTACTTATTGTTAGTGATCTTTCTAGATAATGATCCAGGATCGACTAAATATAAGAAATGTGGTAAAATATAAATGTGTAACCATTTATAACATCCAGTCACTGCCCACATTATCTTCTGGCTTGGCACCCTCAACCGTAACAGGTCCATACAGGCAGAAAACATTCATATTTCAACTGGAAGAGCAAAGGTGAACTGTGAGGTAAGAGTGGAAGGAAGCTGAAAATGCAGCTACAGTCTGTTCCCAGTCAGGGTCACATGGCTCGTCCCCCAGCCCTCATCACAACCGATAGACTGCAAAGACAAAAATAAAATTGATTTGTTTTCAAGGAATTTTAAATGCTCTGTACATTTAGAAAGTAGTTCATACAAAAAACACACCCAGCAACTATATAAAATCCACCCGCGCTTTCAAACCAGCCAAATATGTCATGAAAACTGTGAATCTGGCAACCCTGCGTGACGGTGAAAAAACCCATCAGTGAAATGCATGCATGAGGGAAACAGCACGGGTTTTCTGGTTGCTGTAGCAACCCTGCAGCATAAAATCCCTACTGTTAAATGAAGTTTCACTATAGCAGCTGTTTCCAGACTTTTCTGTGCAGTTCCACTACCGCATCTTTTCTCCATGTTTGTGCTACAATTGGGAGTGCACTGCCCCCCACTCTTTCGTTTTTTTCTTTGGAGGGGGGCTGATGGATATAAATACAAGGTAATGAATATCCCCAAATAGGAATAGTTCGGAAAACCCTCGTCAGTAAACGCATTTCATTGCTGTATCCACAAATGCAAGTTAAGTGTAAGTGGAAGCCATTTATTAGCAATATCCAGAAACGCTACAAACCTCTTTAGGCTCGAGCTCATCAAAGATGGACTAACACATAGTAAAAATGTGTGCTGTGGTCTGATGAGTCAACCTTTCAGATTATTTATGGAAATAATGAATGTCATGTTCTCTGGGCCAAAGAAGAAAAGGACCTTTCAGGTTGTTACCAGCATAAAGTTCAAAAGCCAGAGTTTGTCATGGTATGGAGGGGGTATTAGTGGGTAACTTACACACTTGCAAAAACACTGCTACTGCTGAAGGGTACGCACGTATTTTGGACCATTATAATGCTGCCATTTAGATGCCGTTAAAGTTTTTCCAGGGACATCCCTGCTTGCTTCAGCAAGACAATGCCAAGCCACATTCCACATACTGGCCTTCCTGCATCCCAACTATCTCTCTTTGAAACCGCATGGTACATTGTAAAACGCAACATACACCAATTAACCGCTGAGCAGCTGAAGTGCAATATCAAGCAAGAATGGTAAAATTCCTCTTTCACAGCTACAATAATTTGTGTCCTCAGTTCCCAACTAATTAGTGAATGCTGTTTAAAGGACAAGTGATGTAACAATCCTGATAGCAAAAGGTTAGTGGGCCATTGTTGGCCCATTGATGGCAAAGCTTGTGGTCCACTGGCGTTTTGCTCAGTGTTTTCCAGGGCAGCCCACTAGTGTTTAAGCGAGTATTAGACAAAATTCCACTTATCATCACTCATTTTCCACACACAGTCCAAATTACTTATTTTTCCTTCCTTCCTTTCTTTAGTAATACTTTGTAAATTAGTTTAGTAAATAATTTTAATTTAGGACAGTGCCAGCAACATTTTCTATAAAATCATAGACTAGACATAATTTTTAATTTCTCAGATGTTTGTAATTTTTGTCTTAGTTTATTTTCTAAAATAAAAGTGTCTGTGCTTTTAAAATCTCTTTGATTAGATTAAAAACTAGTTAGAGCTTGTATGCAGGACAGTAATCTGGGTGGCCAGACGGTGGACCAGCAGTGGCAAAGGGTCAGTGGGGTGCCAACTTTATCAAGCCAGCGGACCGATATATGCTCGCTATCTGGGACAGTGGTAAACATGCACCTGTCTCAGCTTTTTTTTTATATGT